TGTATTAGTTGATTTTGGTGTTGGCCTAGTCATTATATTATTTACTATTTATAACCCCAGCCCATTTATTCATATCCATGATTCCATAATTTATGGCTTGGCACTTTCTTTATATTAGAGATTGTACTGACTGGAATCAGAAATAATAAGTCTACGTGTGGTTGCTGAAACCTCCTTGGAAATGTTTGTGACCACAGTGGGAAGCAGTTTATCATGATATTTAGTACAAGTCACAATGATGAAGAAATGATAAAACATGTGCTAGGATATCACAAGACAAATCTTGGCATTTTATACCTATGCAATGTCAGATACAAATATGTAAGCCAGGGGTCTTCAAACTTGGCAACTTTAAGACTTGTGGACTTCAAATTCCAGAATTCCTCAGCCAGCTGGCTGAGGAATTATGGGAGTTGAAGTCCACAAGTCTTAAAGTTGCCAAGTTTGAAGACCCCTGATGTAAGCCATAGGGTTTGCCTCCTTTTTCTCCCCTGCAGATGCCTAGGTAGATTATGTTTGGATTCACAAAGGAATGGCCTTTGCTATTAGAATAGCCCCAACCTGTTAGCCTTCCATAAAGCTTTAAAGGGCTGGCTATGTTCCTGAGGCTGGGGCGATATATGCGCCAAGAGTCCCGCCTCCTGACTATATTGTTAACAGGCCAGATGTCTTGCTTTGTGTGTATTCAAATTAGATGTTTTAATGTTTTTATTGTGTTAATAGCTTTTACTGTTTTTATTATTTTAAAATTTTATTGTTTTTAAGATTTTAATTGTAATATAAGTTTTTGAATTATGAGCTGCTCAGAGTCGTTTGCTGAGATGGGCGGCTATAGAAATCAAATAAACGTAAATCACTTATGAACCAAGACCTAACCGATCACAATTAATTATTGTACATTTACTTCACATAGCACATTACAAGCTATTTATCTTAGGTCTAATTGATGAGAAATCCTCTTGAATAACACAACCAGTATTTTTCCTCTAATTTGACAAACGTGGGAAGTTACAGGAGCAGATATGATCTTTGAAATATTCAAAACAAATGGTTAACCATGCTTTGATTTTGCTAATTGAGAGTTTGTGCCAGCTGCCATATGGCCATCTTGCAATTCATGAAGTTGTTAAATCTGTTGAATTCCGTTTTTCCTTCAATGTGGAGCCAGAAGTAAGGACGAAAGTATTGTTGACTTGAGAGCTAAGCAGCCTTTTTCAGTCATGGTGTAATGGTGTGGGAGTCTTTTTTTAAAGATCTCTTGAGAGAGCTATATATTTTGCATTCCTTTTTCTTTTTTAGTGTACCAAACGGAAATAAGGAGGGTTGGTTTAATTAAGGATTGTTGAAGAATTTTGTATACAAATTATATATGAATGCCAACTAATTTAATCGAATAGCTCTTTTTTTAAAAAAAAATTGGAGATGTCTTTCCTACTACACAATTGGTAATTTATAGCAGAATCTGTGAACTGACATCCTTGAAAAACACCATGCTTCCACCCACATGGAAAGCTCTGATTTTGAAGAATTAACATGTTGTTACTGTAGAACAGCACATAACTTACAGCAAAAAAAAGTTTATTTTCTAGTTACTGCTTATCCTGCCCTTGAAGATTGTCTTTTGCTGAGTTGAAGAGTTAAAATCACCCTATACAGAAAAGCTTCAGCTATTAAAACACAATCATGTTTTTTACTATTTATGCTGCCTGGGCTGTCAACTGATCATGTGGATTGAGAGTACTTTTTTACAGGACCTGGGAAAAGATTAGAGTTATATATTTTACATAAATAATGCCATGCATTTCTTCCTTCATCACTTAATGTAATGTTCAGAAACACATACCTGAATGTGAAATTATTTCCTCAAACTGGTTTTCAAGAGATGTGTTGGATCTACTTCCTTAATTCCCCTGCAAGAAAGTCTTAATAGATGTGAAGAGCAGGAGGTTCAAAAAGGCTTCTCTAAAAATTCCAAATTATCTACTGTTTTATACGAAGACCTTTGGACAAAACTCAGCAAAATATAAGGGAACACCCTTTCCAGCTTGAACTTATCAGTTTGGATACAATTTTCTATGATGCAGTTATAACTAGGATATTCAAATAAAGGTCATGTACAATTTTATAAATAGGGTACTGGAATGTGTAAAAGGCCTGGCATTCTGCTCTGGAGCGGTGTCATTTTTTAAAAAAAATAATACGCTTTAGCATTCAGATCATTTAATAGTGTGTCAGTGTCACTGAAAATTGCTTTGGGTCTTCAGGGCATCAAGCGCTTTATGTAATATTATCTGACCTGATGGCTTTGTTTGTACTATAATTTTAACAAGGTTTTTAGTTGGAAACCTTGCCGAGGAATTTGATATATAAAAGTAATTTGCTGTGTTGCAATATTTCTATTTCAATTTAGGGGATTCTCCTGGAGTTGATTAAAAAAAAAAATAACATTGATTGGGTGGGGTTGGTTTTCGCAGTGCTATTTATGTGTACTGCTTATTCTCTAAAGACTTCTGGTGATTGTTTCACTGTATTAAAAAAGAGTTGGGGCATACCTGTGAAATGATGGACCTGTCAGCCTGCTTAGTATAATTCAGTGGTGGCGAACCTATGGCACGGGTGCCAGAGGCGGCACTCAGAGCCCTCTCTGTGGGCACATGCGCCGTCGCCCCAGTCCTAGGCCTTCAGCTGGGTTTTATAAAACCTTTTCCCTTTAGGCCTCCGCTGCCGTGTACAAAAAGAAAAGGTTCAATCAATCAGTCAATTTCAATTTCTCGGGGAAAAAAAAAGATCTTGCAAAGTTGGAATTGATTGATTGAACTTTTTAGTCCCACCCAGTCTGCTGTTACCATCGCAGCCACGCCCACCCAATGGGCCACACCCACCCGGCACCTGACAATGCATAAGTGGGTTTTGGGTTACAGTTTAGGCACTCGGTCTCTAAAAGGTTCGCCATCACTGGTATAACTTATAAGCTTTATGCAAGGTATCTCTGTTGGAAGACATGGAAAAGTAGGCTAGATTTAGGGTTAGTTGTTGTACATGTTATTAGTGCCTAATATTAGAACATCTAGCTGAGAACTATATCTTGAAGAACCCTTTATGCTGCTTTCATCTATTTCAAATCACCCTTTCAAGTTCCAAGGGACAGCTTATGCAGAAAGTAGGGCATTCTTTATTCAGGGAATAAAGTTATTCAGAGAATAAAATCCAGCTTCTATATGAAAATACTTATCTGAGGATTCAGTGTACAATGCACAGTGTCTTCAAACCAAGGGATGAAGCAGAGCTACATATTAATTTGCTTCCTGTTTAAATTCTGCATTAATTCGTTGGTCCAACTGTTCTTTGACCCCAGTTTTATCCTCCAACAACGGTCAACAGGCAATTTCCCACATGGGTACGCTCTGACGATCCAGCTGTTCTTTCTTTTTTTTCTTTTTTTTTTTTTTTGGGGGGGGGGGATTTTGCTTCATTGACCACTGTAGGTCTGAGAAGAGCCCTTTGTCTCTTAGCATCAGTTGTTGCAAGACAAAAATCATGGTTTTCTATAAATGTTTAACAAAGCAAAGTTGTGGACTGGTGAACATAAAAAAAAAGTAGATTAAGATGCATAGATATTGGATGTTGTTTTCCAGTCTTTGAGCTTCTGGAGGACTCAGACTGTACAAAATCTGTTTAGAGGCCTGGGTCTGCAATTCCCAACCGTTTCTTCTTAAATAGAAATTTGTACGTTCCCTCTATGATTAAGGCCTGCCAAGGCAAAGCAATTGCTAAGCTATTATATGGTGCATTTCCAAGAACTACTCCATCCTGGAGACAATTCAGCCTGCTATCTTTGGGATCTGTCATTGTGTTCCCAGTGCTTGGAGGCAAGATCTATTTCAGTAGCGGCACATATGCGAACAAGCAAAATCATTTACTGGCTTAAACTGACATTCTGCCATGAGGGCTTAGACCCCTTGATTCTACTGGGTAATTTTTACTTAAGCTGGAAGAAGACTTTGGAGTCATGCTACCGTGTCTGCCTTCAAAGAAAGTAAAAGTAGAGGTGAGAATTCAGCTTTGGGAAAAAGAACAAAGCAAGAACCCTCTGTCATCTTTTTCCGGGGGAATTTCAAACATTGTGTAATGAAATTCAAAGTCAAACTAAGAAGAATGAGGAATATATAGAGAGAGGAGGATCTAAGAAGAAGAGAGAGAAGAATTTAAGGATTCCCCCCCTCACACACACACACACACACCTGTGAACAGTTGTAAACTGAGTCTGTGTATCCATAAGTGATCATTGCAGTAGTTACCCAATTGGGTGTTTTGAGCACTTAACAGCTTGTTCTTGGCAGTGTCATCAGTAATAGCATCTAGTTATCATGCTTTCTATTGGCCTTTTTTTTCTATAGCTTTTCAAAACATTGCAGCAATGAGTATCACCTTACAAATGGGCTGCCTTTAGTTTTAGCTTTTATTAAATCCTTCCCCATTCTGCATTATGGAGCTGTTTGGCAGAAATCTCACTCATGTTACATTATGAATGTAAAATGAAAGATGGCTTTTAATTAGAAAATCTGTTCCACAGACAAATTCCACAGTGATTGGTTTTAGATTAATGATTTTAAAGAAGTAGATGGCTGTCCATTAACAAAAATTACCTATTTGTTACGTTGAATGACTTTCTAAGAATTTGCCTGGTTTTTGCCATTTTCTTCTGAATCAACTGTCAGAAATTCAAAGCTCTTGTCCAGGCAGTTTCCAAGAATTGAATACACTTGAATGGAAGAAAAGCACAGGCATATATGTATCTTATTTCTTTGGAATGAAGAGCTTAGATAACAAATTAGAATATATGTACTATTATAGATTTCAGCTGCGATCCTAGCCATTATCTGCAAATCTATCCACAACTGAACCATCACGGAGGAGTCAGTTTTAAGAAAAATACAATAAACTCTGCTCTTTTCAATCTGCAGAGCACTAGGGAAATTGCAGCATTGTGTCCACATTTCCATGAAACTCAGGCGAATGGGATGGAAGGATTAAAAGATATTTCCCATCTAAAGCCATTGGCAAGACAACTTACAGATGCAGACAGACTCCGGAAGGTCATCCAAGAACTTGTAGACACAGAGAAATCTTACGTAAAGGTATTAGGCATGCTTTACTGTTCATTTCCTCCCTTATTTTTGTGATTGCTTCCTGTTATATCACCAGTATTTTGAGAAAAGAAATAGTAGACACAGGTACATTTCCATAATGTTATACAATCCTTCTTCAAATATATAGCTTCGGGATGATAGAAGTTACAGTTATACAAACTGGGGAAGCCTGAATTACGTACTGGTGGTCCTTGACTTACAATTATTCGTTTAGTGACCATTCCAAGTTACAATGGCACCCAAAAAAAGGTGACTTATGACTGTTTTTCATACATATGATCATTGCAGCATTCCCTGTGATCCCATGATCTAAATTCGGATGATTGGCAACTGACTCATATTTATGATGGTTGCAGTGTCCTGGGGTCAAGTGATCATCTTTTGCCACCTTCTCACAATCAAAGTAAATGGGGAAGTTAGATTCACTTAACAACCCTGTTAGTAACGTAATCATTGCAGTGATTCACTTCACAACTGTGGCAAGAAAGGTCATAAAATGGGGCAAAACTCACTTCACAACTGTCTTACTTAGCAGAGATTTTGGATTCAATTGCAGTCATAGGTTGAGGACTATGTGTGCAAACAAGATTTGAGGGGAGAAGATGTAGCATAATGAAACTGGAGAACAAACACCAGATCTGGTCTTGGCTTTAGCCCCTTTTGTTAAGTATTTCTAAAAAAATTCCCTCCTGGGAATGCTGTCTAATATCATACATATGCACATTAGATGAATGTGTACTTTGGAAGACTAAGTATAGTATAATAAGCCTTTTTTATAATATGCTTATTGTTTTGACAGTTAAAACAGTATATAATAAACAAGCAATAAATAGGTTTTTTCCCCTAGAAGTGTTACAGCGAAATGTAAGTGAAAAAACATTATCTCTTAACAGTTACATTGTACCCTCATATGCATATTAAGAAAAAGGTTGTTTTTAAAAACACATAAATCTTATATAACGTTTTGTGTCCCCCTAGGATCTGAGCTGCCTCTTTCAGTTATACTTGGAACCTCTTCAGAGTGAGACTTTCCTTACTCAAGATGAGGTAAGATCACCTCTGATCTTAGGGAGGGTATGACCGTTTCAACTGTATCAGACATTTTAAAGCATGTTCTTTTTTTCTGCATTTAGTTATATGCCTTGGTGATAAAAGTTGACCATCCTCCCTAACAAAAATGTTTCTAAGAAGTTTCAGAAATTATCTTGTTCCTCTGCATTTATCAGTGTCATGTACCACTTCGTTTATCTTTAGCTTAACACAATTAAACATTAGGTATTCTTTTCTTGGACAGTCTTATCTTCTCAATGTTTATTTTTCCCTACTTCCATACAGATGGAGTCTTTATTTGGCAGCTTGCCAGAAATGCTGGATTTTCAGAAGGTATTTTTAGAGACCCTTGAAGATGGAATTTCCTCCTGCTGTGATTTTAGCACACTTGAAACCCCTTCTCAGTTTCGGGTAAATACAATTTATTACTTTTTGGAATATGATAATTATCCCCTTTAATTTCCTTTTTTCTATATTTTCTCCAGTTAGATTTTTTTTTTAATTCGTAAAAACTAAAAACCACTTATGTTCTACAGGAAGATTTTTCCCCCTCACAGAATAGATTTTAAAATATCATTTCCAAGGCCCTGCTGAGGTCAGGTAAACAGTTTGAGAATCCCAGAAGTGACTAGCTGAGTCAATTAGTTTGTACAATCACACTAGCAGCATGAGTGAGAAGAGGTTTATATCAAATAAATGAATCTCTGTGTTTATCTCTAATATTTTACTTCTGACCCTAAAACCCCTCACATTTCACAGAAACGTCTCCAGATCTTTTCTGCAGGGTGGAGGGAAACAATGAAGGAGAATCAAGGAAATTTAGTTTATGGAGCAAAAAACCCTTGGCTGTTGTTGACTTTTGCCTATATTCTAATAGTCAAGTGGAAGCTCAAGTGTCTTTGCTGGTCTGTAGAATTTGCCCCCAACTTTGGTTGTTCTCCCAGTGACAGGTCCATTTGTTTTATTTAACAATACATATTAAATTCCTTGTCTCTACTCCGTTTTTCCAGCCATTGATAAAATACATCCCATACTTGAAAATATTCTGTGTCTTCCTTTTCTTTAATCTTCAGCGTAAGCCTATCCATTTCTGCACAGTCCAATATTTTCTTAATTATCTCTTCTTTGGATGGTGTTTCCTTATTTTTCCAATACTGACCAAATTGATATAAAATGTTTTATAGATGATACCAACTGTGAGATTAGCAAAAATGTTTAAAAATATGTCTAATAACTGTAGGAAGTGCAATAAAAAACCAGGCATATACTACCATCTTTGGTGGACATACCCTAAAGCCCCCCCCCCAATGGACATAAATACATACTTGGCTAGAAGAAATGCTAAGAAAACATATAGATTTTAAACCAGAATTATTTTTATTAGGTATACTATCATGGAAATATAATAAAGAAAGTGTATATTTAATGTTACATGTATTAACAGCAGCAAGAATTGTATTTGCTCAATAAGGAAATACACTAGGAATTGAAAATGACGATGGCACATTTTTTGTTGATTGATTAAAGACTTTAAGTTGCTTGCAATATTAGAAAACTATTTCTTCATGCACAAACTTGCAAATTATCATAGTTAACTTTAGAATCCCTTCTCTAATTTTCCCATTGTCTATAGGATCATAGATCATGATGTGGTTCATAGTGAGGTTTTTTTTTATTATTCCTTCTCTCTGTAGAGCTAAGATATAGAAGAATCTAGCCTGTAGGAAAATTATATCAATTAGTCCATCATATAAAATCTTGAAAATTACCTGTTAAGGTACTCTTTATTTAGTGACTGCTGCATTTAGCAACTATTTGCAGTTATTAATATAATGAAAAAAAAACTTTAGGACAAATTCTTGCATTTATAACCTTTGTAAAGCAAAGTAAGATCATAAGCATACTTAGCTTAATTACTAAATTGCTGGCCTCAACTGTGGTCTATTTGTGGTCATTATGGAAGTTCCCAAATTACTTTCAGATCCATAAATCAGATTGCATGTGCACACACTGTACATCAAACCTAAACTGTTATAGTTTTCTGGATGAATCCTAATTTTAATTATTAAAATATTTTCCTTTGTTCTGTTACCACTGTCATGTCTACTATTTATATCTAAACCTCGACTGATAAATTATTTTAAATTTGTGATCTCTTACTAAACTTTCCTGCTGGATAGAATTAATTTCTGTCATTCCTATTGCTCTCTCATTCTTGCATTTAGCACAAGAGTTTTGTGTAGTTAATTGTTAAAAGTGTGAACTGTAAAATAATGCAATAAAAATAACTGTTTATTATTTCTAGAATAATAAAATAACTTTATTCAGAATATTCTTTTGTCACTTTTTTAATGCATTTAACTTCACATCAGTTTTTTTCCGGTGTATGACAAGTTTTGCCATCTGCTTTCATAGCTTCTTTTTAATCCAATTCTAGCAATGAATTAAACACCTGTAGTAAACAAGCATTGCATTCAAGAGAAGAAATACTTGTCACAGAGGGGCATAATTGAAATGATTCATGTTTTCAATGAATCACTTTCCATCATATTTGTTTGCTTTTGTTTCATGCAAATCTTATATTCATTACCTAATTTGTTCTGTTGATTTGTGTTTATTACATGTCACTAACTTGAAACCACTAGAAAGACAAGATATACTCATACTCATAAATAGCAAGATCAATTATATAATAAAAAGCAATTGTAACATAAGTTACAATCAATCAGGATTACAAAAGTTTTGATGAAAAAATCTTCAGGAATGCAAAGCAGGACAAAGGTAGAAGTAAAGCGTAAAATAGAGGAAAAATATTCATAATGCCTCTTTATTTTAATGGATTTCATATAGTTTTCTGTTTACTATTATTCAGCTATCAGGGTCCAAAAACCAAGGAAGAAACATTGAGACTCTTCTAAGCCATTTTCTTTATTTTTTTCTCACCTGTAGACAGAAATCTTGCCAAACTAAAGCAGACTACTTACATTATAGGTAGTCCTCGATTTACAACAGTTCATTTAGTAACTGTTCAAAGTTACAATGGCACTGAAGAAAGTGACTTATGACCGTTTTTTACTCTAATGACATTTGCAACATCCCCCTGGTCACGTGATCAAAATGGCAACTGAATCATAGTTTTATGGGGCCATGTGATCACCGTTTGCAACCTTCTGACAAGCAAAATCAACGGGGAAGCCAGACTCACTTAACAACCGTGTTACTACAACAACCACAGTGATTCACTTAACAACTGTTGCAAGAAAGGTCGTAAAATGGGGCAAAATTCACTTAAAACGATCTCGCTTAGCAACAGAAATTTTGGGCTCAATTGTGGTCGTAAGTTGAGGACTACCTGTATAAAACATAGACTCTTGGAACCACTAGGGAGGAGCTGTCTTAACTGTCTTTCTCCAACACAAGAGTATCGAAACTGCTCTGTGTTTTGCTCCTCTGGAAATCCCTCCCTCCCTCTCTCCCTCCTGGAGATGTGGACAAATTCCATCGCATCTGCCTTGGTTTTGAATGGTTTCTTCCAATTGTTTGTCATGGTCGCTCTGCACGTTGAAAGTTTAGTAGTATGAAATTAATGAATGACTTTTTGAAGAGTATTGTTAGCCTTTTCTTAACCACAAGATAAAGGCAAAGATAATAGGCATCCCTATAATAAGTTTCTCACCTACTTCATTTCAGAAACTGCTGTTCTCCTTGGGAGGCTCTTTCCTCTATTATGCTGATCACTTCAAATTATACAGTGGGTTCTGTGCAAACCACATCAAAGTCCAGAAAGTTCTGGAAAGAGGTAATTATCTCCCTGAGGTTAACTAAGCGTATGATAGAAATGAGGCAAAATAATCCAGTTGTTGTTGTTTTTAAAAGATGTGCATATGAAAAGCATTTCTTAAATTTTGCAGTTGGTCTTCTGATAATCCTAAAGGGTTTGAAAACTGTCTCTGTTTTTGACGTTTCTAAACACAACACTTAGGACTATAACTCTGTTTGTCTGTCTTGTTATGTAATTGCTGGGATGTGTGCGTTAGGGTAGGTTTTTTTTTTTTTACTTGAAAATAGAGTAGATCCAATGCTAATCATTAAAACGGGCTTTTTTTAAAAGAAAAAGAAAAGAGGGGGAAAAAAAACCTTAAATGTAACAGCATGTGTAACCTGGAACCTTGAAGAAAAAAATTACTTTGCCAAATCCATTGTGAATAAACTTGCATTTCCGTAATGTGTTCCCCCTGCAAGAGTGGGACAGAATATTCTGTGTGGTTAGAGAAATTCTTCATTGATGGGTTATATGTTCTGGAACTAATTGCTGACACTTTTGTATTTTAATTAATGGTGATAATTATAGCTTTTACATATGACTAATCATTATGTTTTTAATTAGTATAACTGGCCTTGTGTAATATATTTTTATTTAAAAGGTAAGCATATATATGCGTGTGTGGGTGTGTGGGCGCATAATATCTGTATATATCTATATCTATATAATACCAACCTGCTTAAACAGCTAATAGGGCCATTATTCACAGCAACCTCAGCTTTTTCCTTAAAGCAACATTTCTTCTGGAGAACAGATTGTGGTGAAATATAGTAGCCTCTTCTATAAGGGCATAATTATAGATTGAAATGGAAAATTACAAATTAAAATTTTTAGTCTGCTCCTGTTTATTCATTGAAATAAGTAATTTTAACACTTTAAATTGCTACTTAGTATCTGTTATGTCCGAAGAAAAGGCATCACGGTCAACCATGCTGCAAAAGCATGTGATACACAGCATTTTTATCAAAGCTAAGCAGATCTGATCAGTGATTACAGGAGAATCATGCAGAGACTGGAAAGATAGAAATAATAGTCTCCGACTTAAAATCGCAATTTGGACCACCGCTAAGCAAGGTGCTTGTTAAATGGATTGTGCCCAATTTTACGAACATTTTTTGCAAATCTGGTTCCCCCCCCTTGATTTTGCTTGCTGAAAGCCATCTGGAAAGTCATAAATGGAGCATGGGAATGCAGCTATGATTGTTAAGTGTGAGAACTTGTCACAAATCACATTTTTTAGTACCATTGTAACTTCGAATGGTCACTAAAAGAATGTTTGCATGTGGAGGACTTTCTATAATACTAAAGTAATAATTTTCATTTCTATTGTTGGTTTAAAAATATAATAGAATAGTTCCCAATAATTGTAGGCTAACAGTACTACTTAATGCAAATATCAAGACAAGTAGAATAGCAAAGATACACATAGTGCTGTAAGTATTGAGTGGTTTACTTCTGGATTCATAGACATGTTTGGAGTTGTGAAAGCGTGTGATCTCACAAAATATTGGCCATAGGGGGACACTTTATTCAGGAGACCCCTTTTTTCCCGAAGACAAAATGTGGAGGATGCATTCAACTATGACTTACTATTATTCTGTATTATTTCAAGCTTTCCTTCATTGAATCAACATGCTAGGTTGCAGGCACCCACTAATAGCATGCTCTAATTAAGTCACTAAGGTCTTTGGAAAACATAGATATGGTTGAGCCAACAACTTTCCAGCATGCCAGTTCTCTTTTAATTCAGCAACTTAAATTATAAGAATTTTTTTTAATGTTATATCAAATAGCCTGGCAGGTATTATTGGAGGTCTCTATGGATTGGCTTTGCTCATGTAATACATCTTCATTGGTTTCCAATAGTATAAAATCCATTCTCTGTGACTAGCTAACTAATGCAGTTATTTCCAACCTTTTAAATTCCACTGTATTCACCTTGGGGAATATGCACTGATTAACCAGAATGCTTTCCTACCCCTTCCCACCCCAGTTTAGCAAAATACACTCTACTGTCCTTACTCATATTCTTCCTGTTTCTGGTGGTAGTGGTAGTGGTAGTGGTAGTAATAGTAGTAGTAGTAGTAGTAGTAGTAGTAGTAGTAGTAGTAGTAGTTGCTGTTGCTGTTGCTGTTGCTGTTGCTGTTGTTGTTTCTGGTAATAGTAGAACATCCAAACTCCTGGACTGGAACCAGCTATGGGTTTTAGTTTCTTGGCATTCTTTGGGGAACTCGGGAACATTCCTGGAAATGATATTGGAATCTGGCATTGTGTTTTGATGTTTCTCCCTTATTTATTAAAATCTCTCTCTTTTTAATATAAAAAGTCACAGGGAGCGACGAGCTTGGAGAGTATAAAAAAGTTGTCTGCTGACATAGTGGTATCTTCAAATATTATATTGGATACTTCAGAACTAAATGTTCTTTAATCTGCCAGAAATGAGATGTTGGCAATAAATTTTAAAAAATTATAGTGGTAATTAAATCATCAGATCCAAGGGAGCTTTTTGATTAATCCTGTTCATTTGGGGAAGCTATTACGACCGATGACAATTTTAATATTTTTCAGTGCCAGATTAACATTATTTGTCTTGTTACTTTGGTTGGATAGTTTGTCTTAATTTAAGTTGTCTGTTGTGTTTTGTTTGGCTTTATTGGTTTTAGGATTATATTAACATCCTTGACCTTATTTTGTTAACTGCCCTAATATTTTTTAATAAAGAGCAGTTAGGCTTTAACTATTGCAAGATAACTGTATATTATTAATAATATCTATAACTGCTTTGTTCCATTTTTTTTCCTTTAGCCAAAACTGATAACACCTTCAAGGCTTTTCTGGACGCTCGCAACCCCACTAAACAGCATTCTTCCACCTTGGAGTCTTTTCTTATCAAACCTGTTCAGAGAGTGCTGAAATACCCTTTGCTTTTGAAAGAACTAGTCTCTCTGACTGACGTAGAAAGCGAGGAGCATTACCATCTCACAGGTACTCCCCCCAACATTTAAGAGTTTTGGTTTATATTTAAATTAGTATTTGAAAATGGAGACATGGATTTAGCACTGAGCTGTCCAAAGGAGAATTTATTATGCAATTTTCTCAGTGTCTGTATTTGAGCTTCACACTCAGCTAAGAGTCTTGCTTTCTTTGAGTCTTACGTATTGAGTTGCTTTAGACTAATAAGCAACTTGTTGCATTATCCAAGTGCTTAATTAAGATTTAATTTTAAAAAGCTACTGTCAAAATCTCTTTACAGCCATTCTAGAGAGGGCCAGGCTGTATGTCAAAGGGGAGGCTAGACTTTTTCCAGTCTGGACAATTTAACAATGACTTATTGTGACACCATATTGTAGAACACACAGCACAGTAAGCAGTGATGTGGGTCTCCTTTTTGGTTTTGCTTAATGCAATAAATGAAATCAAACATTGTGGTTGTGAAGCTGTTTTTTACCAGTTATTGTAGTGAAACTAGTCATTAAAACCATAGATGGGTTTGGGTTAGGGTAAGGATGTGTGTAGGTAAGTATGTGTAGGTAAGGATGTGTGTAGGTAAGTCTGGGAAATTCTTGAGTAAATTTGCTCAGAGAAATCACAGGGGAAAATGAGTTAAAAGTTTCAGCCCATTTTGTTCCTGTTTAAGAATGGAAGGAATGAACTTTACGATAATTTACTATTGATCTCTGGATACTCTGACAGCTCAGACTATGGTCTGGCGAATTATAGCCTTTCATTGTATGCTGTCTCTTCTAATGATTATTTATGATTAGACTTATGATGATTTATGAACCTAGTCAGAGTGAATGAATTTGCCCATGACCTGTGAACTACTGGGGTAGATTTGGCTGTTCTGGGTATTGTCAGCAATATTTTTTTTTTGCTACTGAATGCCTAGGTCAGTGATGGCGGACATTTTAGAGACCGAGTGCCCAAAAACTGGCCCCGCCCCACTACATCCTCCTGCCCTGCCCCCACTCTTGCAGGGAGATGGGTGGGTGGATAGAATTCCTGTTTTTACTATATCCTATGTAGTCTGAAACCTTAAGGGAAGCTGCAGACTATTGACTGCAAGGACCTGGATTTCCTAATGCTAATGCTCTGTATATAATCATCCATGTGTGAGGGCCCGCAAATTCAATTCCTGGTAGGTTTGACCTAATTAGAATAAGGTCTGGCTACTTATGTCTGACAAGTCCCAATAAAGATAAATGTGGTGCCTCCTGGTGGTCAAAATAATCAAAAACACCACAGGATTTTATGTAAAAATAGAAAGTTCTCTCCCTGCTAAGAAGGGTGAAATCCTATAAAACCCCATATATGAGGGCAAGACATAATGTAACATCTATATTTCATTGGCATGGGATCTTAAGGCAGGTAAGTTAGATGTAAATATCTGCAAAATCACAGTCTTGTCTTCAAAATTGCAGAAGCGCTGAAGGCAATGGAAAAGGTGGCCAGTCATATCAATGAAATGCAAAAGATTTATGAGGATTATGGTGCAGTGTTTGACCAACTAGTTGCAGACCAGAGTGGAACAGAGAAAGAGGTAAGGAAGCTGAATTCTATTTTTAAGTTTTATTCAGATAGTCATGGTCTTAGTTCTGGCAGAACAATAAAACTACACATGGATTTAGACAGGTATTAGATTTTTTTTTCAGTTTAGATAGGGAAGTTCAGAACAATTGCCTGAAAGGAAGGCAATGGCAGACATTTGTTATTCTGTCAAGAAAATTGTCTGGATTGTTATCAGAGCCAAGCTTGACTTGAGAGCAATTTTATCTTTACTTTAAAACTACCAACAGGGAAAAAAAGAGATAGCAACATCTTAGTTCAGTTGCTGATCAATGCCTTGTCTGTTATCTTCTCTGTCTTGCAATCTTTGTTACACAGTACCATTAAATATACAAACAGATAACATCCTGGCTTTTAATCAGTGCTTATGAAGTGTAGATCACCCATCATTGTTCTGAAGGCAAATTCTTTAAACTACAATCCTATCCATATACATATCCCTCCAGTAGTAAATCTCACTGCACTCAATAAGATTTCAGGTTGCTGCAGTAACTGGAGTCCAAGACATGTTAAAAAGAATGCCTCTTCAAAGTTTGCTGCTTAAAAGTAGAATTGTATGTAAAATGATATACCTGTCACTATCAAGCCTTTCACATTAATTGCTGACATTTTTTTGAAATCATTGGAACGGTGAATTTGCCTCTTTCTAAAATCAGTGGGTATTTTGCAGTGAACTTTTGGTATAATGTTGATCTATTGAGGAAATCATCTTCACTCTTTTTTTTCTTTTTTAGGTCACAGAACTTTCCATGGGAGAACTTCTTTTGCACTCTACTGTTTCATGGCTGAATCCATTCACATTGTTGAGCAAAACAAGAAAAGAGTTGGAGCTCACAGTATTTGGTGAGTGACAATACCAGTTTTATTAACACCCCCCCCCCAAAAAAAATTGGATCTATACGTATGATAGGCTTAACACAGCCAGTCACTAATTTGCTCAGATGTGCATTGGTGATTCTGAGAATTTTCATCCCACCAGAGAATTAAAGCATTGCCATTTGGGGAAGACTAGGCCTGGTCCAAAGCCTGCTGTCTAGTATCCTGTAAGACCTTGCTTTAGGAAAGTACCATAAGAATTCATAATACCATTAACTTTTTCCCATTGGCCAGAAAGGCAGCAGTAGACATGGTTTAATTATCGTGCCCTTAGACTCTGAAGATTAGTTCAGTAATGGAAGGGATATTTTTTTTCAGCTGCTGCATTTCTAAGGTATGCAGAATAGATCAACTGCTGGGTTTAGATATTCCAATTGCAGGGCTACCTAGATCAGTGGATCTCAACCTTTTTAATGCCGCGACCCCAACCGGTCGTAAGTCGAGGACTAAACCGGTCGTAAGTCGAGGACTACCCAACCGGTCGTAAGTCGAGGACTTTCCCTGCCCGGGAGCGCCGCACATGTGTGGTTCCGCCCCCTGAAAGCATCTACACAGGAGGAAAAGGGGAAAAAATGGCGGACAAAAAAAATGGCGGACAGCCTTGCTTGGCAACCCCCATGAAATGGTCGATCGACCCCAAATGGGGTTCCGACCCACAGGTTGAGAACCACTGACCTAGATGGACATAGTTAATTTTGTTCTGTGATAGGGACTGCTTGGAGTCAAAATTAAATCCCTGGCAGTCGTGGTCACTTATCTGTTTTTTGATGTTCTCAAAATGTTATTCTTTTAGTAAGCCTATTAAGCATTTCAAGAAGCAATATAGATAGATGTTACATATTAGATAAAATCCAAGGATAAGCAAATGGATCTATTCACTCCTGGGAATTTTCCTGTCTTTCATGTACTCCTGTGTGTCAAAATCTGTTTTAAAAGTGTTACAAGATCTCCCAGAGCAGAGTTGGAGGGCAAGAGGGAATGGTGAGGCCTCCCTCTCTCGTTCCATTTCATGCCTAAGGGAGGACTAGAATTCATGGTCTCCTTTTTTCTAGTCCTGTATCTAAACTATCATACCAAACCAGGACTCTATTTTAGTCCTTCTGTGGCTTTGCAGGACACCCAGGCCCTTTTAGTATGCTGTTTCTTAATATTACCTTGGGCCACTACAGACTAATGCTTCATACCAACAGTGGAAATCAGCTGACACTTTTACTGAGTGAAAGAATCCTTCTCATTATCTGATCTTTGCATTTCTTCTTTTGTCACTTGTTCAGCAGGACTTGGTGATGTTGCACTGTGGTGGCCACTCATAGGCTATAGTATTTGGAAGGTACCAACATGGATGCTTTTAGCAATGTCATGTGGAAAGCAAATTCTAAACATTAGAATGAATGTCACATAGCTTTTCTTAGCAGCTATTAAGCCTTCTGTTGGTCTTATGCAATTGAATGTTATTTATTGTATGCAGTATATATTGAACACTTATATATTGTTATAGAGCAGATAGTTGTTATACATATGGCAAAACTGTTGTTTGTGCTCTCACTTTGTTTTTAGTATTACAGGGGAAAAAAACCCAACGTTTCTCATACATGCATAATTCTTACTGTTAAAGCTGATTTTAATATTTTATTTTAATCTGTACTGCATTTGCATAATCCTATTCATAGTGTGTATCCTATTTCGACATGCAGCTTGAAGAGTATGTGATAATATTCTCAGGAATAATGTAGTTACTGGCAGGTTCAGGAATTTGTCCCAAGATCTTGATCAAACAGTGGAGTACTAATCAAAATGGCATTTGTGATATACAGTGTCAGTTCCTGTTGAATTTTAAAAAGTAATTTAACATGTACTGAAAAGTATGGTAATATATCAATAAAAGCTATCTTCTCTTTCTTAGTTTTCAAACGGGCGGTCATCTTAGTGTATAAAGAGAACTGCAAATTGAAAAAGAAATTGGTAAGTATTTAGATTACTAATAAATCATGAGTGGTATGTAAGTATACAGTTGGAATTAAAAGTTACTGAATAAAAAGAGCACACATTTTAGGGGTATAAATACTCTAGACATCAATTATCAGAAGAAATAATTTGCTAAAAATAAAGGAATCCTCTTTAAAAGCCTAAGACGTTCAGATTTAAAATGATTATTCGAGCTGAACATGAAACAGTTTGCAAAAGCATATATAAGCTGTGCTCTTGGTAATTGGGTAATACAAATCAGGCAAGTTTCCACTCTATATTATGGAAAGCTCACTTTCAAGGATAAATGAAACCACACATAAAAAAGTAGGAGCTAGGATTTTGAAATTTTCTGTACAGTATAAAATTGTTTTAATGTTTTAAATGTGTTTAGTATTGATCACATTTTAAAAAAAAATAAAGAGTGAAAAGCAACATTCTTAGATTGAACAACAAGGAGTTTTGGGGATAATATTTTTAATTGCCCTCTCTTTTTTGTACTTTTTTTTAAAAGTCAGGTAATGTCCGTAACAATCAGAATGATCTGGATTTGTTTAAGTTTCGTTGGCTGATTCCTTTATCTGCTCTTCAGGTTCGACTGGGTAATACAGCAGGTGACTTGATTTTACCAAACGTATAATTTTTAAACAGTCTCTATTTTTATCCTTTTGAAAGTTTGTCAACCATGAATATATTCTGTTCAATTTTTCATTGCTTCCTTCATAAATATTGCAACTGATGAAAAGTTCAGTGTATCAAGTAGGCTGGGTCACCATAACATTGGAATACAGTTTTAAATGCCAAATCTGAAAGAATTCGCTGTAGTTTAAAGAACTTTTAATACTTTTGAACATTAGGTAGTAAGCCTATTCTTACTTCATCTGCTGATCTAAAAGCTTTTTCCACTGTAAGGTGCTTCTGGTCCGTGATGAAATGGCAAATGGAGCAGAAAAGGCAACCTTTGCTGATTGCTCCTCTTTCCTGCTAATTTCCCATGGTCATGCTACCTCCTACAGGGTTGGGTGATTTTTGGAAACACGGAGGAAGGCAGCAGTGGGGGGCTGCGGAGGGAGAAAGGAAAGGATTGCTGAGAGCCATCACATTCTAATTTTCATTAACATGAATCCTGTGAGCAGAATTAAAAAGAATCTCGGTCAGAGTTCCAAAAAGGAGACAAGAAAAGTACAGCTTTACTTTACAGGAAAGTTTTCTTTAAAACTAAATAACAATCCATCCTTGTTTCTTCTGACCAACCACTAAATGTGTTTGTGTGAATCTCCAGTGCAGGTAGATAAAACAATGATTGGTGAAAAGAACTCCCTAAAATAATGTCAAAGCAATGCTTTGAAGTATGAATGATTTCTAGTAACAAATAATATAGCTGTTGAAACGCTAAAAGCATGTGTGTTTTTCATTCTTGCCTTTGATCAGTTATAAATTAATCACAGAATAAATGGTAAATACCCCAAAATACGGTGCTTCACTGCATGCATGCACAAATGTTTCATGCTTCTAAATTTAAGAAACTAATTAATTAACTAATCTTAAGAAGAATTCAAAATTCTTCTTATACAGATAGTTCTCCATTAACCACTACTCATTCAGCGACTGTTTTAAATTATGATGACGCTGAACAAGTGGTACTTATCAACAATCCTCAAATTTCTGGCTGTTCCAGGACCCCTCTGGTCACGTGATCGTGATCCCGGTGCTTGGCAATTTTGAGGACTAGTCATAAGTCTCTTCATTCAATGCCCCCTTAACTTTGAATGGTTGCTGAACAAATGGTTGTAACACAGGACTACCTGCACTTAGCAGAAAAGCCATATCCTGTCTTTGAATTTTGGAAGACAATGATAAAGTATTTATGAAACAAAACAATATTTTTGGCAAAAGTCTTGTTGCAAGAAAAAGCCATTGACACGATCTCTTGGATGAACTTGAAACCCTAATTAAATTCTCATATGTGAAATTCTTTGGCTGGAGACTTGTAGGTATCGTTAAATGTTTGTGAGAAAGTTTTTTTTCTACCCACAGGAACAGAAAACAGCAGTATTTGGGAACTGATTCATACAAAGTCAGAATTAGAAGGAAGACCTGAAACAACCTTCCAGTTGTGCAGCAGGTAGAACCAAAACTTGATTTCTAATTTCTAAGTGGATTATTTCTACTTTCTTCTCCTCTTTAAATAATATAAATTAATTTTAATAAATTAATCTGTGTAAATACTATGCTATTTATTCATGTAAGAGTCCCATATACATCTATCCTGTTTGATCAAAGTCAGATGAAAGATTCTTATGACGCTATTCAGAGAGTTCTCAAAAGTGAACCAAACAGAAGTGCTAATTTGGGGGGATATGCAAAAGGCTAACCTGGGGCAGCTGGCCCAATGTCTAGTTTTGTTTCCTAGAACAGAAATGTTGCTTTGGGCAAGAAAAGAATCATTATATACAGTATAAAGAGAACCAGGCCTTGATAGCTAATCTTAGCAGTAACTTAATGTTTTGCATTGACTTACTGTTTTTTTCCCACAACTATAGTGACTGTGAAAGCAAGACCAACATAGTCAAAGTGATTCGTTCAATTCTAAGAGAAAACTTCAGGCGTCAAATAAAATGTGACTTGCCCTTTGAGAAAGCATATAAAAATCGCCTAATACTGCATAAGAATCGAATTCCTGTTTCAGCAAAATTAGGTAAGAAAATATTTTCTTAATATGTATGCCAACATTTTTATGTATTAATCGATGGCAATAATATTAATCATGATAAATTATGCTTCAACAGGAGATGTTAGTTGTATTCCACTGAAAGTATTGGAGAAGCAAAACAAGATCTGTCCACCCCATAGATTGCCTACCAAAATACTTATTTAGAATTCAGTGGGGTGATATTTTTTTCCTTGCCATACTTACTATGGCAGCTGTTGTGGGAAATTGGCCATAATGTATTCTTAACATTACAAATGTGCCATTGGGTTCAAACTAATTAACAGGAAACAATTTTTAACCTAGTATAATAAATGTGTGCTTGCCACCTTGAAATAATTTAAGGAAGAAATATTTACAAGCCAGCTGAAATCTTTACAGATTACATTAGTTGAGTTTGAACCAATTATGCAAGTTCAATACTCCTTTATAACTACTCTATCCGTAACAATGGGAAGATGTCAACAAATGTATATAGACAATCCTTATTTACCAACCGCTTGTTCAGAGCAACTGTTTAAAATTAAGGTGCTGAAAAACACTTAACGACCTGTTTTCAGAGTTGTGGCCATCATCACATCCCTGAGGTCACATGACTGATTGCAGTTTGAGAGGCTGGCAACCAGCATGCATTTACAATGGTTGTAGCTTACCATGACCGTGTGATCACCATTTGTGACCTTCATATCCAGATTCTGACAGGCAAAGTCAATGGGGAAGTCCCTAGGAAGTAGCAAGTCAGTCATGTGATGTTGTGCTTAACAATCCAAAGCGATTCGCTTGATGACCACAGCCAGAATTGATATTGTAAGCAAGTGCAGTTATGTAACATGTCACTTTATCTGCATAGCTTAGCAATGGAATTGCCGCTCCCAATTGTGACCTGTGAAGACTTCCTATAATGGGGCAAATATTCTAGCTGAAAAGATAAAAATTAAAAGTGAGGGATGGATTTTGTGGTTTTAAAAAAACATTAAAACCATCCCATTACCTGTTCGCTTTGACTATGCACTGCCTGGCTCAAATTGCTCTTTTAACAACCACATAACTAGATATGACTAGGAAACCTCTGATGATTTCTGGAGTTCCATTAAATTTTATGCTTTTCTTCAAAGACTAGAGTTGAGATATTTCAGCAACAGTAAGCCTGTTAAGGCGGCAGAAACAACATAGTGCCCATGGATGCTGTCTAGGTACTTTCCAGGCTATGCCTCTCACCTCACCTCACTTGACTTGATTTTTTTTTTCTATTATTTTAACTGAAAAGCAATAAGTGGAAAACTACATCATGCTACAAAGCAAAACACTTCCCTAGGACCCTTCTATAGAGTCTGCAATAACAATGCTAGGGAGTTATAATATGGGATCTATTCTGGAAAAGAGCTCATCTAACTAGAAAAAGCCAAGAGTAAGGTGGTGGAAAGCATCATAGGGAGCCTAGGAGAAGGGGAAAGAGCAACTGTATTTGTTCTCACAAAATACCCAAATATCAGTAGGCGACCGTGTTTTCCTTATGCCAAATATGCTAGTCTTGAAAGGTTGCCTGCCCTCTGCTGTCCAGATTCTCAGTTTATTTTCTGAAGTCTCTGTCTCTCTCTCCTTCCCTCCCTCTCTCTCCTCTAGCACTTAATTGCATCAATCATAATGTTTAAATGGTTAGTTACCACAGTTGTTGAGTACAGAAACTTGATGGATGTATTTTTACATTGGCAGCTTCTTCCAGATCACTGAAATTACTGAAGAATTCTCCCAGTAATGAATGGAACAGCAGTACAAGAAAAGGAAATGAGGCAGATTCTGATGAATGCAGTTTGAGCAGCAGTACACCAAGTAGCAGCTGCCACACTACTGACAGTATCCTGGAATCTAAAAACTCATCTCCCGTGAAGGGTTTGCAGAGCTGCACATCCGATTTTTCAAGTAGTCCTGTAAAGGAATCTGATATTCTGAGTGACGAGGAAGATAATTTCCAGCAACTTCTAAAAAAAAGCAACACCACAAAAGACATAGAAATCCAGTTCCAGCGGTTGCAGATTTCTGTGATTCAGAACGATGATGTGGAGACTGCTTATCCTCCTGAGTTAGAGAACAGAGGTGGACAGAGAGCAGAAGAACAGCCTAAACTAGTTCGTGCTCACTTTTGCCCTATTAAACGAAAAGTGAACAGCACAAGACGTGACAAAGGGACATTGCGGGCAATGCAAGAACAGCATTTGTCGCTTGACAATCAGCCTGATTCTCCGGGTTTTGACCTGAATTCAATTTTAGAAAGGGAATTTAGTGTGCAAAGTTTGACATCAGTGGTTAACGAGGATTGTTTTTATGAAGCAGGAGACAAGTCCTAGCTGTTTGATTTGTAACTTGATAAAACTACTTACTCTTCAGTTTAATGCACTACTGGGTTTTTCCATAAAGGTTAGTTGTAAAGGCTTAAGTTATTTTAATTTATTCCAAAACAAAAAAGTTTACCTTGAATTTGCAAATTCTGTAAACTAATCTTTTCCCCTTTCAGTATTAGGTAACATTTAAACATTTTTGAAAACACGGGGAGGTGAGATGTTCATTTTTTGACCTGAGTCCAGTTAGCTTTCATTGAGCATTTAAGAGCATGTTAGTTTTTGCTTTATTTAAAGTCAAATTAAGTTATTTCAATACAGAGTAATAAAGTCCTCTGTACATTGTACTAAAATGTAAATGGTTGTTTATATTTGATTTTTATATATGTTTGTACATATAAAAAGCGTACTGTAATCTTATGGTATTTTTATTTTCTCTATAAGCTTGTACAGTAAAATGTTAATTGAAATAAGTAGATTTGTCCGTGTTTTGTTCTTGGTGGGTGTTTTTGGGGGGGTTACTTTTCAGTTATTTTACATTTGGCCTTGAGAAGATAAAATGGTATCACTTGAGTTTTAAGAAAAATGATCCTTATTCTCATTTGTAAATTTCACATACAATTTTGGTTAAAATTGAATATATTCAAAGTCAAATTATTTCAGTCCAATCCAAAAAACTGTTAGGCTTTGTGGTTGCCTAATTCTAGGAAAGAAAATAGTAATCTTTCTCAGTCCGTTTAAAGTTGGCTGTCTTTTTCTTTTTCAGTTCTTCTCTGTAGTTATATGCTAAAAGACCTGGATCTTCATCACACATTTTCCTGTAGACATTACAAAGGTTTTTAAACTGAAACATGGACAGTTGAGGTGGATATAGAGTTGGGTCAACATCTGCCTCCATGAGCAACTGTTCTGTTTTTTCAAGGCGGTCAGCTTCTGGAAACAAAATCCTGAAAGAAAACAGTATTGGTAAACAATAAGGAACATCCAGTATTTTTATTTCAGATTTCTCAGTTCAAATAATACTATCTTCTATATAGCTACATTATGAATCATGGGCATCTGCAGAAGAGGCGGCATAGGAGAAAATGATAAAATGAGCACTGCAACATAAGCCTTTGCATATGTATTCTGATCTCATCTACCTAAAGGTAGATGCTTTGTCATTCTGATAAAACAATTGGATTCTGGGAATGCTTTTGCTATGACTAATAGCAAGACTTAACATTAATGCAATGGTACTCTGAAGACAGAAGCACACTGCATGCCTTTCACTAGATTACTGCAAAAAAGTGACAGCCTGAAAAAGGGTGAAAAGAACAGGTGCCCTTGCGCCCAAATGTTCAATTAAACTCGCACACAACTGAGATAGAGAAATAAGCTATGTTTTAGGAAGCAGATGCCACCAACAATCTGCTCTGCCCTGCCTTTCATCAAATTTATCAAATTTCTAGGTTAGATTGTCTAGACATTGGAATCTGAATATAGAGCTTTTTAACATTCATATTGTATTGTGCTTTTTTAAACTAGGCAGTGTTCATACATATTATAACTCCATATGCCATAGGCTAAATAATAATAAATAATATCAAATTTCTGATTTAACAAAAAACAGATTCCATCTTGACTATAAGGAACTAAGAAGCAACTATTTCAGAGAAGGAAACTTATTTTGGTCACAAACCTCACTCTGTTATATCATTGGCTCCCTTGCCTCTAATAAGGTAAGAGGTTTTTTTACTTTGTTTTTACCATGGTTTGCTGAGGATTGTACATGAGTTCTCAATACGTACGGAAAAGATAGGACACCTTTTTACACGTCATATCAGATTTTATGTACCAGAATGTTGCCAAGACATGGCCCTCATTGAAAAGGAACTAAGGCAATATAAGTAAGACCATAAGCCCTTAATTTTTTTGTAACATTTTCTATGATTATGTACAAAGTAGACAGTAACATTTAGATTTAATTTAGTCATAAATGTTTGCATTGCAACAATATTTTTCAGCATCTTTCAAGTATACCAGAACATAGCTGGTAATTCCTCACTATCTCCATTCAGTCAATATACAGGTAGTCCTTGACTTACGACCACAGTTGAAGCCAAAATTGCTGTTGCTAAACTAGATAGCTGTTAAGTTAGTTTTGCCCCTATTTATGACCACAGCTGTTAAGTGAATCACTGCACTTGTTCAAACTTAATAACACAGATGTTAAGTGAATCTGGCTTCCTCACTGACTTTGCTTGTCAGAAGGTCGCAAAAGCTCAGGACATTGTAACCATCATAAATACATGTCATTGCCAAGTGCCTGAATTTTGATCATGTGACCATGGGGATGCTTCAACAGTCATTAAGTGTGAAGAATAAGTCACTTTTTTCAGTGTCATTGTAACACTGCACGTTCACAAAACAAACTGTTGCAAGTCAAGGGCTACCTATACTGTTAAAAATCCACCAAGTAAATGTATTACAACTGTGTTCAAGGCTTAGAGCAGGGGTGTCAAACTCAATTTCATTGAGGGCTGCATCAGCATTGCGGTTGTCCTCGGGGGCCGGGTAGGTGTGGCCAGGGTGGGCACGGCCTACTGGGTGGGTGTGGCCTACTGGGTGGGCATGGCCAGCTCTACATCGTTCGTGTCAAGGGTGCTTATGGGGGCCGGGACAGATCTGAGGGTCTCTGGCAGAAGGGGGTGGAACCAGGACAAGCGCCAAGGCATGGTCCACTGAAAGAGCCTGCCGAAACCCCTCCCCCAGAGCCCATCAAGCCAGATATGTGAAGTAGGCGAGGGCCATTTGCTGGCCACTTCCAGGCGATGGTGCATTTCTTCATTCCTCACAAAGGGTGACACCTCCCCAGCATGCATCCAGGGGACGGGGCCAACGCGGCAGGGGCCGGTCCCTTGCTGTTTCCTGACAGCTTTGTGGAACTAAAATTGAATGCGTTTCAGCATAGATGGCCACCACAAAATTGTACATTGGCTCCCAGGCGGCCAGGGCCAAGGCAGCGGGGGGCATTCCCTCACTGTTTCCAGGATGGCTTCGCGGGCCACATGAAACCACGTTGCGGGCCGCATCTGGCCCCCGGGCTTTGTGTTGGACACGTCTGGCTTAGAGCAATAAAGACAAATAAAATAGTGCCATACAAACGAGAAAATTCCTTGAAGGAATCACATATGCAAATGTGAGCCGCCCCCACCCCCCACTGCAGTTCTTGAAAACAAATCTTTATACTTATTTTCTTACCTTGCACCGTGATGACAGTATTTTCTTTTGTATTGGAAAATATTTCGAACAACTTTTTCCACCAGTTTAAATGGCTGCTTTATTTTGGGTTCCACTAGTGGTGTAAAATGGACAAGTGTCACATCTACCTGAGATTAATATATATTGATATTATTATTATTATTATTATATTTATAGCAGTAAGGAGATATATTTATTATAAATGTATATACATAAATGTCATTTAAAACTGACAATCCAATTAAAGGAGTTGCAATTCTATTGACCAATAAATCTGCAGCTTCCAAGTTCACAATGTGGACCTCCTGAAATATGCTTTCAGAGAAATAGGAACAGATAAAGAGAAACAGACATAAAAATACTGTTAAAATGAAATAACTTTTGCCATCAATTCTTGTAAATTGCAATTTCTGGATCTGGAATGCAAAAGACAAACTAACCTCTAGATTATATAGTTTGATGTATCCCTTTGCTGCCATCTAAAGTTTATAGATTTTTGTGCCGAGATCTTGTAGCCCTATTATACAGTAAACTCTTCTAGAACTAAAAGTATTTCTCTGTATTACAGGAAAAGGGAATTCTGTTTCTCATTCAATTTTCTTCTGCATGACTGAAAATGGTCCTCCTGGGAGCAGAATTATGAATAGAATTATAAATTAGTGGATTCCCCCCCCCTGGAAAATAGGCATACTGCACATTTACATGAAAATAAAAATAGGCTGAAATAAAGTACTACATCCTCAAATAAGACCTGCATCTTTTTTCACCCTGTAGAACACATCTTACTGTTTACTCCATTACAGGGTCTGAACGCTCAGAAAGCTGCAATGTTACTATGGAAACCAATATAGGAAATTACTGTTCATTTGTAATTGGTAGCTTTAAAATTACTGACATTATATCCTATTTTTTTAGTTATGCATATTAACAAGCTCCATTTCAACACACTGATTTTTGATAATCATAGTAGCGTTACCATTTTATTTTGCAAATAGTTTTAGCAGAGAATAAATGTTTACTGCAAACAAAATCAGGTTCACCTAACTGAGAAAAAAAATCTTGTACCCTTCTGTCACCTGTTTTAAAAATTAATGCAAACAAAATCCTGAAATTTTCTTAGGGACTGTAATATGCAAGTTAAAAAAAAAAAAGTCTGAATTTTGCAATGTGTTACAAAAAAACAACCTTAAAAAGGGACTTTCAAAGAAGAAATGGCAAACTGAAGGTAGGTCTGTAAAAGGAATCAATCACGGCAGACGACTGCAGCAGAATGACCACCAGGTAAGTAGACCGGCTCTCTGTAATTCTTCTCCAGATAAGGAGAGGACATGAGGAGAGGACATGACATTGCTCGTAGGTGCTCCAGACAGCTGCTCCTTGCAAGAAGATTGCAAGATAGTGGGCTCCAGTAGGCTCAGAGCTCTGGGAGAGGAAGGAATAGCCACCTTTTTGCTCAAACCATGGTGCCTTCAAACAGGCGCTGGGATCACATACCAATCACTTTTGGAAATTAATTGTTAACTGCTTTTCAGCTATTAGTTTGACGGCACTGGGTGAATTTCCTTCAACTCCTAGTTAAAAGAAGTTTTAAATACAAGTTTAAGGACTTAAAAATTCTTTTGAAATAAACAGTGAAATTTAAGAGGGCAGCATAATATTCAAACTTGTAGGCAATTATCTACAGAAAATTATCCAAGTTGCACTGAGTTATCAGCAAAACCAAAACCAAAAAATGACAAAAACTGTGAGTGTATGTGCGTATGTACTTGGTTTTCTAGATAAAAAATTGTACACACACATGTTCATGTTCTTTTTATAAAGAAAACTGAAAGAATAATATGATAGCTCTATAGCATTAACCACTTCAAATTCTTCAGTGTTTCCCAAGTCCTATGTTCCTACAGACCCACTACCGGCTTTGTTACTTCATTTTAAACCTCTCCCCCCCCCCAGTTTTTACATGAAACTGATCCCTCTATATTGTTGTAATCCCCACCCTGAAGGAAATACAAATCTGTAAGATGGATCCAACCCTTTCCAAGTAGAAGCCCATTTAAACAGTTGGGCTTTCTATTGCCTTCCCCCTGAAGAATCCGTATTTCCCAGAAATGTTCTGGAACATTCCACGCTTCTAAACCACATTTCGGAGGTGCAGCATAGGATTAAAAAGGGGGGGGGGGGCTGTATCACTTCCACTTTGGGTTTGCTAATGGAAGCCGCCATTGGCTTCTGCTCCTCAGCTTCTCCTTTTTATCATCTCCCTTAGGACTGATAGTTTAAAATTAATAACTTCCTGTGGCAGGAATCGTTTCTTTCATAATAATACACAGAGAAAGAATAATATATAAGTCAATTATCAAAACCATTATACTCTTACCTTTAGCTTTAAGCACTGTTTAAACTTATATTAGTTCCTAGTTTCATTATATATTAAAGTTTAATGAAGCTAAACAGAAACTAAAACATTTTTCATCTTTAAGTCTGATTTTGGGTTAAATATTATGGTTATTACAGCTGGCAGAAGATGAATTTACAATTTACTACAGGAATATAGAACCCAAGATATGGAGAGCTTTCCCCAGGGTGATTGTCTTATGAGTAAAGTGGAATTTTAGCATCAAGTAGAGATTTTAATTCGCCAGTTTTAATCCTCCCCATATTGTTACTTGGTGTTGGCTTTTTTCAGATATCTACCTCTGAAATCGGAGACAATGAGAAAATGTGCTACGTAGTTTTTCCTCTCAACTTTTTACCAGGCTCCTTGTGGAACTGGGAAATTTTGACATTCACAATTCCTTCTCAGGGACATGGTGAATGGCAAAGGGGGATCAGAGATAGAAGAGCAAGCCATCTCAATACTGTAACGCCAAATATTTAAGTCCTAGGAATATTTATTCAAAGTTAAATATCTAATGTGGTACCGGAGCGGAAGGCTGATCTGATTAAAGTGAAGATGGCTGTACAGATCTGTATTATAGTCCACTGGGTAAACTTAATTGTTTCTCCCAGAAGCTGTAAGTTCTCGTGATTATGATAAACAATTATGAATCAACATGGAAAAGAACATTCTTGCAACACTGGTTCTTGAAAGAAGTTATTTTGATCATGGGATATGACTAAGTGATAACTACTCTCAATCTGCAAGATTTAGAAGATCAATTGGATCAACTTGTCCTACTCAGGAATATATTTTTGAATAGTCAAGCTTCTTTCTTAGATGACAAGATATTTAAATAAAATAATTATGCTCAAACTTTGAAAAGTACTAATTTTAACACGTTTTAATGTCCTTCCAGCAGCTAAGATTGTGCCCTTATGCTGAAAGACTGACTGAATCTAGAGTCCATGTGTTGATTTATTGCACCTTTTATAAGGATTCATGGACCCATTTTATAACTCCCCATTAGGTTTGAATAGAATAGAGCTGGAAGGGACCTTGGAGGTCTTCTAGTCCAGCCCCCTGCTCAAGCAGGAGAACCTATACCATTTCAGACAAGTAGCTGTCCAGTCTCTTCTTAAAAACCTCCAATGATGGAACACCCACGATTTCTGAAAGCAAGCTACTCCACTGGTTAATTGTCCTCACTGTTAGGAAGTTTCTCCTTAATTTCAGGTTGCTTCTCTCTTTGATCAGTTTCCAACCATTGTTTCTTGTCCTGCCCTCTGGTGCTTTGGAGAATAGTTTGACCCCTCTTTGTGGCAGCCCCTCAAGTACTGGAATACTGCTATCATGTCACCCCTATTTCTTCTTTTCTTTAGACTAGCCAAACTCAAGTCCTGCAGCCTTTCTTCATATGTTTTAGTCTCCAGGCCTTTGATCATCTTAGTTGCTCTTCTCTGAAGTTTTTCCAAAGTCTCAATATCTTTTTTGACCAAAATTGGTTGCAGTATTCCAGGTGTGGTCTTACTATGGTTTTATAAAGCGGTACTAATACTTCGCGTGATCTTGATTCTATGCCTCTGTTTATAAAACCCAGGATTGTATTAGTTTTTTTGGCTGCTGCTGCACACTGCTGGCTCATAGTCAAGTGATCGTCCATTAGGACTCCAAGGTCCCTCTCACAGTTACTGTTTTTGAGCCAAGTACTTCTACCTTTGATTTTTCCTGCCTAAAGGTAAAACTTTGCTTTTCTCCACATTAAATTCATTTTGTTGGATAGGGCCCATTGTTCAAGTTTGTCAGGATCTTTTTGGATCCTGAGCTTGTCTTCTGGGGTGTTGGCTATTCCTGCCGGTTTAGTGTCATCTGCAAATTTGATGAGTTCCCCTTCTATTCCTTCATCTAAGTCATTAATGAAGATATTGAAGAGTACTGGGCCTAAGACGGAGCCTTGTGGTACCCCACTGCTTACTTCTTTCCATGTGGATGTAGTACCATTGAGGACTACTTGTTGAGTACGATTTGTCAGCCAGCTACAAATCCATCTGGTGGTGATGTTGTCTATCCCACTTTTTTCTAGCTTACTAAGCAGCAGGTTGTGGTCTACTTTGTGAAATACCCAGGCTAACTGACATTATGCATGGCTATGCCTTTGAGATTTTTGACACTGAATGTCATTGCTGAATGTGGCAAAACTTTTTTATACTGTCTGTATATTTTACTACAATTAGCAACTGCCTCATTTAGCAACCATTCATAGTTACAATGGTAATGAAAAAGAAGGTACGACCAATCCTCATATCTATAATCTTTGCAGGCCTGACAATATGCAGTTGCAATTTCACTTAGCAACTACTTTGATTAATGACCAAGCTGCCATTGCCAGTTGAAGTAGCTAAATAAGAACTATCTGTACTGGCTCTAAACCTCATTATATTTTGATCACCTCAGTGACAGATTTACAGTTTTACCTTTGTTATTTTGTTTGAAGTAGAAATTGTTTAATTTGTTAATGTGCAGAATTCTGATCAGTGATCTTAATTTTTAAAAAACACAAAATACTTCAATTCTATGAAATTATATTTTTTTTTAAATTAAAAACTAAGTATGAGTTAAATCCTATCCAGTTCAATTAGATCTGCTTCCAGACAATTCTTTTAGGATTACCAATTTGCCAATTATATCAAACCTCTGAGCTATAACAATGCAAAGACAATCTCAAGGATGAGCTGCTCCTTATTTTTTTGCTTAGAGAAGGACAGGAATTCATCCTTAAAAGAGTTATTCTGAGTTTGAAAAGTACTGCCAAGCAGTCATGTTATGGCTTCTGTTATATAATAATAAACCTGACCCAAGATCTACCCCAAGACAGGCCAATGTCAACAACTATTTGGCTTGTTCAGAATTTGTAGGCAATCAGGTTTAAAAGTACAGTTTTCAATAACAGTATGGAGACTTTATGCAAAAGCAAATCTTGAATCCCCATTACTTGAAGATTAATGAAACCAGTTACCACTATGTTGCTGTCAATGCTCACTTGTTACAAAGGGAAATAATCACATGCCCACCAGATGTTTGGAACAATAGCACCCTCCTCAATCATTTTTAGTGGGGCTGATGATACTTATAAGCCAAAACACCTGGACAGAACCTGATTTACTATCTCCACTGGATCACAAATCAGTGATTTCCCTTTTCCCAAACAGAAAAGGCCAGACAATAAGAGAAGCTCCTATTTATCATATTGCATAATTAGCAGATTTCCCTTGACATTTCTTCGCTTTAGAGCTTTTTCTTGTTGACTTGTCAAAACCTTCACAGCTATGCTCTGTATTTATCATATAAGCTGCAAGTACTGCTTTTTCCCACTTAACCTTTAGAGTAAGGCAAATAATTACGGTACTGTACAGAAGCAACTAGAAAAGATTGCAAGCTACAAGCACCAGGTATGTGAGATATAGAGATGTATGTATGTACGTACGTACGTATATTTCTCACAATGATTACTTAGAGGAATTTATATCTTGCTGTACAATTCTGGGGTTCTGAAACTGATTGGCAATATAAAACATCTTAATTCTGCCTTTCACTTATGTTGAAGCTCATTCTATAAAGTTATTATTTTCTATACTGTAGAGCAGAGGTCCCCAACCTTTTTTTGGCATCAGGGACCGGTTCTGTGAAGAGAGATTTTTCTGTGGACCGGAGGGTATGTGGTTTTGTGTGCTGCTTGCATCCCATGGATGGGTCTTTGCTTGTTTGTGCAGGCCAGTTGCTGGCATGCCGCGGCTCGGTATTGGTCCACGGACTGGGGGTTGGGGACCCCTGCTGTAGCGAAAACAGTTTCTAAAAGTAAAATTGGGACAATTTTTTTCCATTAAAATATTTGTTCTAATCTCCAAGCCGATTATTCAGCTTGGGATCTGGAAATCATTATATGCTGAAAACCAAGGGTTTCCATGCCTTTTCTCTATAATCCTTTTTGGTTTTGTTAAGCAAAGTATTTTCTCCAATGCAGATTCATTAAACAAAGTAGCTCTTTATATTCTGGTAGATGGTACTAAGACAAGGAATAGGAAGCACTGCTGCGTACAGAGCATCAGAGATCTATTTCTGGTTAATAAAATAGCCAATGCAATTTTCCATGAGGAACAGAGACATTTACACTCAAAATAAGTTGTGTTTTTACAACTTCTGCTGCCATGAAAGCATTTTAAACCTTTCCTTTATCAGTAAGTACTGAAACTTATTATTAGATATCTGCATTTTATGGCATCTGAATATTATTAAAATGGGATTTTAATATTTTTGTACATTTGTGTGATGTTGGCATATACTCTCTTGCAGAAGCAATTTTAACACTGTAATACACAGTATACCCATTCAGTATAAGTCACTGACAATAAGTTAAGGAAGACGATATAAGATTATGACACGGAAAGCAGTGAAACTAATTAAATTGATAAGTTCAGTATAAAAAAAATAATCATACAGGAATGGTTGATACACTATCTTAACCTTAAGTACAATAAATTCATTCCCTTTCCATTGCCAGGACTTCCAGTTCTTACTCTTCAAAATCCATAATATCTGAACTGAAATAAAATTGAAACAACTATAGAACTGTTAATTTTTATTTAATGGGAAATATTTGAAAACTTACAGAAGCAAAGCTGTTCATAAGTGTTTAATTAAAAACTGTTACTGGGACACCTATAGCATCAACCTTGTGAACGCTCAGGTTCACAATGAGTGATTAATATTTATATGTATATAAAAGAATGAAAGTAGGAAAAGACTATTTGAACTCTAGCCTTCATTGCAAGAATTGAGAAGTTATATCGCTGTACATTTCAATTCAAATCCATTGGAAATTTAAGACCTATACTGCTTATAGGACTGGAATTATATTTTTTTAAAAAACTTCCTCATGCTGTATTACAAAATGGATTGGAAGCTTCTAAGCCGGCCAATAAGGGCACAAATCTTTCCTTGATTTATTTGGCACAGGCCATATCTCAATTTTACGTCTTACCATTTCATTTGCAGTTTCTGCCACTGTGGCTGATTATCAGCACCTCCTTGTACTCAGTTGCTCTCACTCACTACCCATTTATAATCACGCCTCTCCAAGTGCCCGGTGTACATCTGCTCAGTCCTTTTGTAGCCTTCTCATCTGCTGCAGGGTCACGTTTAGCAAGTCATTCAGTTAGCCGTTATTTCAAATGCAAGCACTCTTGTTTGCTCAATTCTCCTGCCTTTGCCCTTGCCACTCTCTCCCCTCCTCCTATCACATACAGACAACTACAGCCTTGGCTGGGGAGCCATCAGACAGTAACACAGGTTTACAGCAACAGAAAAGAAACAAGCAGACAAAAGGAGACGGCAAATCTCATCATGGCATCAGCCGCGCTCCAGTTTTTTGCTTTCATCCTAGCCTTGTTTGGTGTTTTTGGTGCGATCGCAGCCACCCTGTTGCCCAACTGGAAGGTGAATGCAGACACGGGCTCAAACATAATCACAGCCATCACTCAGATGCAAGGGCTCTGGATGGACTGCACATGGTACAGCACCGGGATGTTCAGCTGCACACTGAAATATTCAATCCTCTCTCTCCCTGTTTACATCCAGGCAGCAAGGACCACCATGATTCTGTCCTGCATTCTCTCCAGTTTTGGGATCTGCATCGCCACAGTGGGGATGAAGTGCACCCTCCTGGGAGGGGACAGAGAGACCAAAAACCACACGTCAGTTGCCGGAGGAGTCTTCTTTATTTTGGCAGGAATATCTGGCTTGATACCAACAGCCTGGTACACGAAAGAGATTATTTCCAAATTTCTGGACCCAACTATTCCAGAAAGCAGTAAGCATGAGCCAGGAGGAGCAGTTTACGTTGGATTTATTTCGGCTGGACTTCTGCTTGCTGCAGGTACCATCTTTGGCACTTCCTGTTTTAAGAAACAGCAGAGACCAGGGATTTATCCTAACAAGCAGCAGAACCTGCACCTAGCTGCCCGGCAAGTGGACACAGACTACAGCCTGAAGGACTATGTGTAAATACAGTGGTGGACCTGTCTATCAAGGTTGTTTATATGGTCTTGCTTTTATAACAATACGATTGATGCAAGCCTTATAATGACATTGGGTGAGGTGTTTCTTATTTATTTTAAAAAAAAGAAAAAGATGCCAAGAATTTAAAAACTAACCAACCATTTATTACTGAAACTTCTTTGCAACTGGATTATACTGAGAATGGGTGGTGGGGTGTAAATATAATATAAATTAGTTACAAGAGTTAGTTCGTATTTGTCACATGCCTTGTTTAGTATCACCAAGTGTCTTATTTTAACAATGGCACCAGCTGAACTGATTCTGCCTTGCTGTGGATTTCTGTGTTTTGTTTTTAAATGTTTGCTGCATTTCTCAATGTCAGTTTTCAACGACTATGATAAATGGTATCTCTCCAGGTTTCTTTGAAAGAATAACAGTTATCCCAATGTTTCTGAGGATCAGCTGCCCCTCTAGACTTCAGAGATTCCATGCCCCACAATAACCTGCACCCATTCCACTTTCTGTGGAAAATGTCTACTTAATATTTTGCCACTAAGTCAAACACAACAGGACTAAAAGACCTACCTATTTCTATTTATAGGATATTTTTAAAAACTCTCCTTTTTTCAAGCTAGATTTCTACGTGTCTTAAATAACATACAACTAAACATAATTAAGTAAACTGTTTCAGTTGTCAGTAACTAGTGACTACTTCAGCAGGATTTAAAGCTGTATGTCATCTAGCTATTATCTATACTTTATGCAAACTATTTACAAAGCAATCTTCAATCAGATTCCAAAGATTTTGGCTATTTGCCATTCAAAGATTTAGCAGGCAATAGTCAAATGTTTTATAATTATTTTGCCAGCATGAGACACTTGATTAGTCTTGCTTCTTTAAATCTTTTTCTTGTGTCCATCTGCAAAAAATCATGATCGGTCACAAAATAACCACTCATCTCCATTCAAGAGAGATAAAATTTGAACATGTTTGGCAATATAGCACAATATAAAGAGCAAAGTTTGGATCAATAGCTTGAAATATAATCTGAGCTACCTGTAGATTTCTATAACACATATTTTCTAGTGTCAGCAATGTTAAATAACTTCACCAAAAGATTAGTCTTTTGTTTATTACAGGAGAATTATAGCATGCATTTTTAGTTAGAAAAATAAAAGGATATGTAGAGGCTTCTAAAATTATACATAATATGACAAAAATGAGGTGTACTTTTCCCCTATAAAAAAACCAGAATCATGGTTTGTTTTTTAAATTAAGAAAATTTCCCATAGAATAAAACATAAATCAAAAAAGTGCAAAAAATAAAATCTGAATTAAAGTTAGTAAAATTATAAGTGACTTCAGACCTTCTTTTCAATAGATAATTACAATCTTATTATCTCTCCTCCCTCAAGTTGCTTCAGTCCCTCATTTAATCCATATATTTATTAATTGTCAAATCTATAAGATATTGGGTTTTTTTCTCAGAACCCTGAGTTATATAGCAAAGCTGAAAAGAGGGCTGGGGTAAAGTTTTGGGATACATGAAACACACTGTTAAATTTTAAAGAGTACTACCAAAAGATGTAGTGGGTAAGCTGTTCTTTAAAAAAAAGACTCAACAATTGCAGGAACAGTAAGATTATTAATTATTAGTAGCCATGGGATTACCCATTATCTCTAATAATAGAGGCAGTAAACCTCTCAGTGCTGCTAGGGAGCCACAGTGAGTTTTGCCACTATCTGTGAAATCTGCACAAGGATTCTGATTACTTTGTACAACTTTGTAAAAACTGTAAAACACAAACTGAAAATATACAACCTACTTTTGGCTAGTGTAGCACTTCAGTTTGCAAAACGTTATTATATTTTATTAAAAAATATATACATATAATATTTCTTCCTAAAGGGGCATTTTTAAGATAAGTATATAAATGCTGATTCATTTTCATCACAAACATCTGCTTGTGCCAATTCTGAGGCATATGCAGAAGTCATCTTAATTAAGTACGTTAAAACAAAAGCAAAACCCCAACTGTGAAGAGAAGCAGCCCCAAATTAGGAGAAACTTTATAGCAGAAATATAACTGCAATTCAACAGTTAATATCAAGATGTTATTATTCTCATGATATAAGATCCAAATAACTTTGAGTAGACTGGCAGAGGACATTGTGGAAGCTAAAAGTGATGAGCAACCTGGGAGCAACTTCATCAGTTCATCATGTTGAAAATAAGTGTTTCACTATAGCAACTGTTTAAAAAAAAGGCCCCATGATAGCCATTTTGTAAAAGTACCCACAAAAAACTATCTTGATTCTCAATATCTGTGCATTCCCACTACAGCACATGATAGCCAATGAATATCACCATTTTCTTCTATATGGAAATCATTATCTTATGAAAATGAGTGTAAACAGCTCAAAAATGAAGATGCTGCTTTTGAGAAAATAGGAATTCATAGCTAGCACCTTAACAAATATAGATTAATAATCTAGTTATATTTTGTGTGCCAGCCATTTCATTTCTGGAAAGACCATTAATCATGTTTGGAAAAAAAACATATTAAATTAAGAACCCAGTTCAAATATTTTTAACACAGCTGGCAAGCTTGCATTGGCATAATACCATGCAATCTAATTCTCTGACAAAAGAGTTAAAAGTATTCTGTTAAAGTCAGACAAATTCCAAGAAAAAAATGCACCAGCAACATCAAAACAAAAGAAATACTGCTTGCATAGAAATAGAGAAGAGTAACAGTTCTTAAGAAAAAAGAGTACTCTCTCTGCAGATATACTGTATATTACCACCACCAATTTAACACAGAAAGAGCAATAAAAACAGAACAAATTAACAGGGGGATTTTATAACAGTACTCATAAGGTGGGTTTGACACTAGCACTGTAATCTCCAAAAGAAAATCTATTTGCAAAAGTTGGTGTCCTACTGCCAACCCAAATGAAGAGCATCAATGAATAAATCAAGACAATTAATTTCAGGCCTAGTCTATTCCCTTTTCTCCTGCCTTACAGATGAAAATTAACAATCAATCACTGGCCAGGAACACATGAAAGCCAGAATGTTTCTTACAGGAGACATTCAAATATAGGATCAGGAATCTGTGATCCTCCAGATCAGTGGTTCTCAACCTGTGGGTCGGGACCCCATTTGGGGTCGATCGACCATTTCACGGGGGTCGCCAAGCAAGGCTGTCCACCATTTTTTTAGTCCGCCATTTTTTTCCCCTTTTCCGGCGGGTGCCTTACCTCCCTTGGGCTGGGCCAGCTGGTGGTCGGCCTGCTCCGTCTCTGCCGCTTGCCAGCTATGCCTCGGCCGGCGCAGGGGGCGGAACTACGCATGTGCGGCGCTCCCGGGCAGGGAAAGTCCTCGACTTACGATCGGTTGGGTAGTCCTCGACTTACGACCGGTTTAGTCCTCGACTTACGACCGGTTTAGTCCTCGACTTACAACCGGTTGGGGTCGCGGCATTAAAAAGGTTGAGAACCACTGCTCCAGATACTGTTGAATTGTTGAATTTCTCACCAGACTAGTCAACATCACCAATGATGAATGACACTGTCAAGACATCAGTAGGTCCCAGAATCCCTTCAGGTTTGTTTTCCAATAATTATGCAAAGTTTCTACTAACACATGTATATCAAGGACAGAGAAAGGGCAATAGTTACTCTGAAAATAACTCCCAACTCATCTTCTAATCAGGATAAGTCATGTAATATTAAAGGATGCATTATTATGTAACCATTAACCCTTTAACAATCTTGTGACACAAGCTAAGCTGAAATGTAGTCATCTGTCTAAGGTCCCACATACGGTTTAGTAGTGTTTGAAAATGAATCTGACTTTGGCCATCCCACCATACAGCTCAATGCCATCTGCTATTCTAACTCTCTACTGAGCAACAAGATTACAGTACTTAGCCAATCTTGATCTAAACATTATAGTAGGTCCAGACCTTGTTAATATTGGGAAACTTGGGAAACATTTTTGGAAATTAGTTGCAGAAGGTTGAAAAAACATCCTGAAGTAAGGCAATGACAGGCCATTTCCATATTGTTACCAAGGAAATTGACAACTCCAATATCTGCCCAATTTATTCCAAAAGTATACAGTGCTTTTGTACTATATATTTTTGAAGTGCTAGCCACTTTCAAGGCTATTTATTTATATGCCATGCATTCCCAAAAGTTTTAGGAGGTTAACAATCTCAACATAAAATATTTCTTCAAGATTACATAGGCAGACAGATAAATAGAAAGAATAACAAAATAGAAAAAAATGAAATTAGGAGATATTTAAGTTATGTGTCTGAAAATCCCACCTCCAATCACAGCACACTGTCCTCCTATGCAAAGAAGAATAGGTAAGCCTTTACACCTTTCCTAAAATCAAGAAGGAAAACAATGCTGGACAAAGGAGGGAGTTCCATAGAATAGGAGTAAGTACCGAAAACACTCACTTTGGAGGACCCATCAGATGCCCATTTCACAAAGGTAGGACCTGGAAGGAGTTAACCTTATTTGATCTAGTTGGATGGGCAGTCCTTCAGATAACCAAGTCTTGAATTACATTGGGCCTTAACAGTGACAATTAGCAGCAAGAATCATACTTGGAAACTGTCTAGCACCCAATGCAGCCACCAAACCAGTGGATTCATCTGAAGATACTGGACTGCCCAGTCCACTGCATTTTATACTAGCTGTAGCTTCTGAATGCTCATTAAGGGGAGCTCCAAGTTCTGGGAGGGTATATATGATATGTTTTATTTCATTCTGCCTTAATGTGAGGTGAAAACCTAGCCACCATAGTATGCATTTATTAATTAAACCATGGCATAAACAACGTATGGCTTATACAAAAGAGGAAAACAATTATCATCAGCAATTTCTAAACCACAATATGGCAGCAATAAACAGGAGACATATGTAACATTACAGACAAATAATCACTATCTCTTATGTTGGATATTAGAAGGAATAGAATAGGGCTGGGTTTTGGAACTGGTTCAGGAAAACCTCAGAAAACATTTCTTTTTGGAATAGCATTTTACTTGAGTTGTTATTCTCAAAATCAGGACACAGCCACCTCTAAGGAAATCTTGTCTCCACAAAGTGTCACACCGAACCAAAATAGCGATTTCCCAGAGGTATGTCAACATTTATTGTTGCCACGAATGTGTGATTTCCTACAGATTGTACAAATAATTTAACTAAGAGTTTGATGCTCCTTTGGGGTAGCCCTTCAGGGCTTCCCACTACTTAAGACTTCTGAAGAATTCTGACACATCTTTGGGGTACTTGGAATTTATCTGAACATTTTCTCATCTATCACTCTTTCTCTTTTGTTGATTTGCCTTCCTTTCGAACGCTGCCTTTAAATCTTTCTCACTTCATCTTCACTGAAAATTTATATCCCCCAATTATAAATTATTACTAAATTTATTTTTCAGTATTTTTGGAGCTAATCCAACAACCTTCATACTCTGTGAAATTAGAATATGTCTGAGTCTGCATGCTAACGGCTTTGTGAAATAGCTGAATGAAGCTTCAAACACTGATTTTAATGCAAAAAGAATGAACAGACTAACCTCTGGCCTTGGAACAAAAGCTTGACCTGGAATTGTAAAACCTTTATGAACAGTGCACAGGTGCTGAGACATTATAGAAAGCCTGCTTCGCTGTCTGGATTTTGCACTAGCTGTGAGTCTCTGTGGAAGAAAAATGTTTTTGTACATGAGTGCAAGCATTAATGTAGCACAACCAAATTAAAGTGTTCTTAAGAGCAGCCTGTTAACTAAAATACCAAATAGTTTACAAATCTTTTTACGGTTATCAGTAATAGAACCACACTTATTGCTATAACAATTAATGGAAGGTCTAAATTTTACTGATGCTAACATTTCTCTTATAAGTAAAACAGGCTTGAAGTAAAAGAAAGCAAATACAATTTTACTGCCATTATATTTCTATACTTTTGGGGTTCAGTAAAATCATAGCAACCTAAACACAGTATTTCAATAAATTTCTCAAATAAATTTGTTTATATATTTCTGTAGCATTTGGAAACATATTCAAGAGGACCTATCTCAGAGTGTATTATAGAAAAATAAAAAAAATGTAAAAAGTGAAGAAAACATTTTAATCCAGTTTATAAATGAATGCTCTATTTTTTAAAAAATTACAAATGCTCATAGTAAAGCAAAGGGAATTCTAAGACCAGGTAAGATTATACTTTAGCCTATATTGTGTTTTAGAATAGATACATTATGGTAGTCTCTATACAACATGCAGATGTAGCTTCATTAATCTATAATTCAATGGCCTATAAAGTATATATTTTGGAATATATGTGTTTGGATATATCAATACATGAACAATTTTATTTTTATAACTTTCTGCCATAACTTTACAAGTCAGTCTAGCAGCTGCTAAGTTGCACACAAAATGCAAGCGTGCATTATAATAATTATTATTATAAACAAGCCTAATACCAAAATAGATTGCTATTGAAAATGCTACATAACCTATCTTTGAAAAACTTCTAGAAGTTTAAACTGCTGCTAAGTTAGCACCAACAACTAGCTGGATGTTCTGAGCAGATTAACCCAATATTAGGATTCTATATATATTCTAATCCAATACTGTGTTTCTAGAGTCAACTCAAAATGCTGGTTCTTGCCTAAATCAGAAGCTTGGTTCAATATTTTGTTTTTCCTACAATGTTCAAAACATTCTTACCGGCTAAAATTTTCTCAAGGTAAATTACATTTAAATCTATTTTCATATCTTAAAAAGTAAATGAAAAAAGACACCAAAGAAAAAGAAAAAGAAAGAAAAGAGAAGAAAAAAGAGAAAAAAGGAAGAAAAAAAATAAAATAATATACTACTTAAAATACATATCCCTCTTATACTATACATTTATTTCCATTTTTTTCTGTTCTTTTTACCCATAATTAAACCTGTGTTTAATCTTCAGATGTTCCATTTAATAAATCCAATCATCTAATCTTTTAACTCTATTCAAAACATTTTTAGTTATCCATTAACATTTTCTTAAGATCAATTACATTTAAATATCTAAAACATTTCCTTTATATTAACTATCCCAAACATTTTTATATTTCCCCATATCAAACAACAAACTAAAAAAAGAGAAAAAGAAAAAAAAGAAAAAATACTATCTTACTTGGTGTATTCATCCCTCTTAAACTAAAATCTTTCTATTTCTTCAACCATATTCAAACAAATGTTTAATTTTTAAGTATTCCCTGATATGCCCCATCATCTAATTCCTTAATTCTCTCCTTTTGTCAAACATCTTTCCCAATTAATCTATTCCATTGAATCAAAGAGTCTTTCCATAATCTTACAGATGTTGTAAATATAAGAAGTGAATCAAACATCATGTCTTTGTATAGAGATTTTCCCCCTTCATATTCATTGAAGATTTCTTTCATCATCTCTTGTCTCCCCATTTCTTGTGGTACTCCCAACAGCTCTGCAATCCATCTTGTCAAATCTTTTTTCTTGTCCTCAAATTTATTTTGTGGTCTTAGAATTTTCTTTTCCATGTCCAGTGTTTCTTGTAATTTCTTCTCCATTTGAGTCTCCATTTCTAAATTTCTTTCCACTATTTTATATTCAGTTGTCTGCTTTATATGATCTCTCTCTCTCTTTTTGTTTTCTGATCATTTATTTGTTGTGACGTTAAATTAAAAATGCATTTGTTTAAGTTTTCAAATTCATCTTTAATTTCCTCATGATTTGAAATTAGTGTCACTTGTAATTGTTGTAACATAACATACATTTCCTCCTGGGAAGTATTTATTTTTTCTTGGTACGTTCTTTCTGCAGACCTCTGATGCTCCATAATAACCAAAAATCCTTTCTCTGCCAATCGCTTTAAAGTCACAGTTTAAAAAGTATTTATAGTCCAGGAAGGTCATTTTTTTCCTAAGTTTTATAGTTCTCATTTTGTAGATAGTCCACAGTGTTCTCTTTTTTATTATTACAGCTGTTCTTTGTTTAGTTAAGGCTTTGAAGGTCACAATATCAGGGTTTTTTTTCTGGGCTGTATATTTAGGGCAGTATTTCCATCCACCACTAGATGTCAGCACCAGTTCATCTTTCAATTTTCAAAACAGATAAGCCTTTTAGCTCCATCAATCTTTTGCCAGGAAACGCTTAATAAATTCCATTGATTTAACATTTTCCACGTTGAAATCTTATATTGATTTTATTTCTGTATCTTTATTCCCCATAAATTTAATTCACCACTTCCGTTTAGAGAGGGGTGGAGCAACTCCCCCTCACTTTTGGAAGATTTTTACTTCTGGGTTTTTTCTTTTTCTTTTTCAGTCAGGTAGAAGAGAGAGAATCAATATTCTTACTCAGTTCAATCACACTGTTTACGATCACGCTTAGTTTAGTGCTTTTTGGCTTCAGCTACATGTAGCTTGGGATAGACTCACGAATGAAGCTAGCCTTTCTTCTGTCGATTTCTGGAGGGCTTTCCCTAGATGTCCGGATCAACTGCCATCTCCCCATGATTGTCGGGGCTTCCCTCCTTCCTTGCCACCTCTCCGGGGTGGGTTTAGGCCCATTTAGGGTCCCCAAACAGAGAAAAATCAGCCATAGGGCGTGGAGCCCCGCGATCCCTCAACTGCTGTGCTAAAACCGGAAGCCCCCTATATAGCATTTTTATAACCTACCAAGGAAATTATTATTATTATTACTATTATTATTATTATTATTATTATTATTGATCATCGCACAGTCAGCCAGGTGTTCAGATTGGATTTGGCATTTTTATCTATCGAATCCTTGCCAAGGACCCGGGATAGGCAGATCTGGATGTTTATTATTATTATTGTTGTTGTTGTTGTTGTTAGGATAAGGTTAATCTGGCAAGATTTATTCTTCAGAAATCCATATTAATGTTTGGTAATTATCACACGTTTAAAGATGTTTACACACTGACTTTTTTATAATTTGCTTTAAAAAACTTTCTACAAATTGACTGGTCAAATTGGCCTACACTTTCCCAGATTCTCTTTTTCAACGTTTTGAAGATATGCACATTGTCTCTCCTTTAGTCATCAGGTATATTAGGCATTCTACGGGATGAATAGATGTTCAAACAAACATCAGCAAATTGTTATAATTCCCTATCGAACATAATTCAAGCTATTCTAGCGATGTGAACTTGTTCAAATGTAAAAATAAAGTCAGGTAATAGGAAGTTCAAACTTCAATCCTGCCCATTCATCCTATTCTTCACTGAGGCCAAGTGAAACATAGTTCTTGTTGCAGAAAATGAAACAATTAAAGAATTGAGTAGCTTTCTCTTTTCTCTGTTAGTTTTGCCATCTTTATTAACCATCTGGAATATTGGTATTTTTAATTTCCCGTTAGACTGAACATATTTGTTCTTCTTTGGCTTTCTTTGCAACCTCAGTTCACTGCAGGCTTTAGTTTTCCTGACACCACGTCTACAATTCTCAGTTACTGTTAGTCATATAAAGTAGACCAGACTAAGAAACCAATGCCATATATGTCTAAAGCTATTTTTAATGAACATCTATAATGACAGAATCTTGCAAGTCAGAATGTGCTTTCACCCCCTCTCACTTTAATCTCCATGTAAACTAGGGAGGGGCTTTTCTCCAATTAGTTTCTTGGGAGTGGACTTGAGCCACAATTGTCTGAACGTTGCTTTTCTTCATGTCCTTCAAGGCTATTGTTGTTGCTTAATGACAAGTCTATTGCTAAATGATGTGGTTGTTAAGCAAGGAGTCATATGATCATGACTTGGGATGTTAGTGCAGCTTCTCCATTGACTGATAGAAACCAGTTGCGAAGCATGCAAATGGCAATCACATGACTGTGGATCACTGAATGTCTTAAACACTTACCAGTTGCAAAGGCCTGAATCTCGATCACCTGCTGCAATGGCCGTAAGTGCAAGGACCAGGGCTTTTTTTGTCATAGAACGCCCAGAACGGAGTTCTGGCACCTTTTTGGGATGGAACCTTGTAGGATAGGCAAGGCGGGTTGTATGACGTATGTTGAGTTCCGGCACCTTTTTTTTTTTTTTTTTTACAAAAAAAAGCACTGGCAAGGACCATTCATAAAGTTACTTTTTTCAGCACTATTATAACTTTGAATGGTTGCTAAATAGGGCAGTCTTTAAGCAAAAACTACCTGTACTTCATGGAATGTGATAACAAAAAAATAACAGTAACACAAACAAGTCCAAGAAAGAAAGAAAAATTAAAACAGGAACAATAATTATTAATCTATGTAAAAGATAATCAAAATGGATGAGTTGGGAAAAGTCAGGCCTTGAAAAATAAAAAAATTAAATCAAAATAGTAATATAGTAGAAAGATCTCTGCATAACTATGAAGACAAATTTATTCTATTATCATGATTGTGTCACTGTTTTTATATCGGTCTTATTAATTAATATAAGAAACAAACCAACTGTGCTATTTTGCATCCCGTTTGAACTACATTGTATGCAAAAACACTATAATCTTCATGTCGTATATGAGAAAACCTGAAAGCACATACAGCTGGCTTTTGCTATATAAAGCAGACTGCATTTATGTTCTTAAGTCTCTCCTTTTCCGCCTAAATGCCAAGAGGCTGCGCTTCCCCTTTTCCAACCTGTTCAGCTCTAAAATCCTCATCCATCAGCCGTACCACTAAGCTTAGAATAGCAGCTCGCACTACCAATTATTTCAGAAAACTGAACTGAAATGACAGAAACTACAGGAACCCAGTTTTGATAAAAGGGCTTTGTCTCCCTACTGCGCCATCTGCAGAGGTTGGCACTGATGATCACTAAAACTCAACTAGAACATTAGGAAAGAAACTGAACATTGCAACACACATTACAAAAGGCACACTTAAAAAAAGACTCAGGACCCCATCTTACTGCGATAGTACTTTTTGTTACTGAATTAGTTAGGGAGGAAGAAATCAGTTCAGATGTGTGTTAAAATGCTCCAGCTGAGAGATTCTTCTGAAATGCTCCTATTTTTCAGCCACATTTCTGGCATCAATTCAGAGAATTCGCAACAGCAGGTTGGGTTTTTTCCCCCCTCCATTTTCCAGAGCACTGGTAGATCTTCTGTTTTGTTAGGGGCGGGGGATAGAAAAAAACTCCATCCTTACTGATTCAAAGGCCTATTCGCACAGAACTGTGGACTAATGTAAGTATCAGCTCTACCCTTTATGTCATGATTATCTTTATCAGAAAATTTTCCTTTATTGGTACCTTGTTTTGTGTAGCATGTTAAACCAACCAATGTCACAAAATCATTTTGACCATTCCTACACATACAAGTCAATGAAACTTTCCGCACAGTTAAAATAGAATCATGTACAGCCAAGGCTAGTTAACAGTGTTGCTATTACTGAATGGCTATTGATGATAATTAAAATTTATGTCGTGCTGATGGTCAGTACAAATATATGTAGTCCTCGACTTACAGTACATCCATTCATTTAGCAACTGGTCAAAGTTACCAGGCATTGAAAAAAAACTTGGTCCTTGCAATTACAACTGTCATAGCATCCTCAGTCATGTGATCAAAATTTGGGCGCTTGGCAACCGGCATGTATTTTCAACAACTGCAACATTCTGGGGTCATGTGATTGCCATTTGTGACCTTCCCAGCCAGCTTCTGTCAATGGGTGAAGCTGCATTCACTTAAGTACTACATGATTTATTTCAGGGGTCCCCAACCCCCGGTCCGTGGAGCAGTACCGGGCTGCGGCATGCCAGCAATCGGTCCGCACAAACAAAGCAAAGCTCCATCCATGGGATGCAGGCAGCACACAAAACCACGCACCCTCTGGTCTGCGGAAAAACCTCTCTCTGTGTAACTGGTTCCTGGTGCCCAAAAGGTTGGGGACTTCTGATTTATTTAACTACTGCAATGATTCACTTAACAACCGTGGCAAAAAAAAGGTCCTAAAATTGGGTGCAACTCACTTAACCATCACTTTGCTTGGGAACAAAAATTCTGGTCCTAATTGTGGCTGTAAGGCAAACACTCCTTGTATACTGATGAAGAAATGATGATATTTATGTCATGATATCACAACACAAATTCAAATAAGATTTTGAACTTTCATCCCAATACAAGTACCTTAATACAAATATATTAATTACATTATTAGTATCATGACACAGGTTTCGTCATCTTTTGCCCCTTCAGTTACCTATTCTAGTCCTATCTTATGCCTGAAAGTCAGCTGGTTGACTTTGGGCTAATAACTCTGTCTCAGCCCAACTGTTGTGGAGAAAGTAGTAGGAGGGAGGAACTGCCTTGGGTTATTGATAAAAATAATAAAGGCAGGAAATAAATAAATAAAAACCAGTGATAACCTCTAGCTTAGGAGCCATCAATGTGTTGCAACCATGGAATTATATCTAGTTTATGCATTTCAAGTCAAGTATGCAGTTGTCACATGCATACCCCACTGTCTTGGAGGGATCTTCTACTATCCCTGGAGGAAACTGGAGATACACAGGACTTGCAGGTTGAAGAGAATTAGTCTGCTGCTACAGACAAAACAATTTCTTTAAACACACAGATTCTTGCTATATGGTAGAGCAGTAATGATCCATTCCCTAAGCCTGCAAATGTATTACTGCTTCCTCATTATACAAATGGACCAAACTACAAGAACCAATTAAACTTAATAATTTTATGTGCAGATTGCTGATATTTATTGTAAAATAATTGTATAATAATTCAGTAAACAAACTCACCTCTGCAACTTCTTTCTGAAAGGTCAGTGTCATCCGTATCCTACCATAACTAAAAGGCCCATCTCGGTTAGATACATTCTCAAGCCACTGGATTATTAGTGGAGTTGAGACACTGAAAGGAAGGTTTCCAATGATATGTATGTCTGGAGGATCTATAAAAGACAAAAGTCAAAACACAAATTTATTTGCTTGACCATAAGCCTTAATCAGAATAAAAGAATCAATATATATATATTTCTATTGAAACACTACTTTCACTATATATTCCAATATGACACAATTTTTAAAATTACTAGCATTCTCAGGTTCCATTTTTTATTAGTTTATCATAATATAAAATACAGAAATACAAAGAAAAATGAGACTAATGGAAAAAAGGGGAGGAGAAGGGAAAGAGGAAAAAGTGTAGGATAAAAGGAAAAAGAAAAAGAAAAAGAAAAGCATTGACTTCTGATTCTTTTTGGTGCAGTAGAATAAGCTAATAACATATCTCAACTTTTCACTTTTACATAATAATATATACTAGCCATTTCTATAACAACAAATCTATCTAATTAGCAAAACTCAAAACCAAAGTTTTATTTTTTTCCACCTGAAGCACAAAGTCCAGAAGCTATTTCCAAATAGAAACAAAATTAATTGTACTTTTGTTTACTCAAAACAGTCAATTTAGTCATCTTTGCTAAGTCTATCACTTGTGCAGCCATTCGTCCATTGTGGGAATCAAAGTATCCTTCCATTTTTATGCATAGAGTATATATGCTGCTATTAGCATATATAATACCAAAGTTCCAAATTTTGTTCAAGTTCTCTCTCCATTAAGCCCAAAAGAAAAGTCTCTGGTTTAATCTTTGTATTCAATTATGAATACAAAGATAAAATCAGAGATTACTAAATCATTCTAAAATGAAATAAATTTGTGCATAATATTAAACTGCCATAAATCTATGATTAATTGTCTGCTATTTTGCTCTGTCTTCAGAATAGAAGATATAGTTTTAATGATCCTTTTCTGTTCTATAGGTAGAACAGGAAGATAGGAAGGTAGAAACTCTCCTAACATTTAGATTTATTTAAAAGGCATAACACTGAATCTTTTGCAGATCTGACCACCATATCTATGACTGAATGGAATTTTCAACATCCTTAACCTTAGGACAGTAAAACAGATAGTGAAAGAGAACGTCTGCATTCCCTTATTTGCAAGGACAGAGATTTTGATCATATGGGTTTCCTGTCATTTTCTTCCCAAGGCATTAATTGAAAGCTTTCCAACATTAATTCTCTTCTCAAACTAAATCTCTTCTCAAACCGAATCTTCCTTCAAATAGTCTTCAGACCCAATTGAAAATTTAAGAGCTTAAACAATGGTGCATTTTTTGTTGACCTAAGCTGGGAAAATTAACTTTGGGGAAAAAAATCCTGTATCTAGATTTTGACCTCATGTTTGGCATTTATCCTATCCAAATGTGCAAAGTCTCTGCACCAATAGCATAAAAAGCTTTGACAGGAACTCATAGTTAATTGCTGTTGTAGGCACACCATATGAAGGCAATATTCAGGCATCTCTTTGAGTTTTAGTAAGTAACTGATAACTTCTTGATAAATGTCCTAGACCAGTGGTTCTCAACCTTTTTAATGCCGCGACCCCCAACCGGTCGTAAGTCGAGGACTAAACCGGTCGTAAGTCGAGGACTACCCAACCGGTCATAAGTCGAGGACTTTCCCTGCCTGGGAACGCCGCGCATGCGTGGTTCCGCCCCCTGCGCCGGCTGAGGCGTAGCTGGTAAGCGGCAGAGACGGAGCAGGCTGACCACCAACTGGCCCAGCTCAAGGGAGGTAAGGCATCCGCCGGAAGAGGGGAAAAAAAATGGCGGACAGCCTTGCTTGGTGACCCCCGTGAAATGGTCGATCGACCCCAAATGGGGTTGTGACCCATAGGTTGAGAACCGCTGTCCTAGACCTATAAATAGCATTTGTTCTAATCTTAGAAAACAAGCAGGTATGATTCTGAATAGTTTTTAGATTGCTAGTGAAATTCATTGCACAGAGTTGTGATCCACACAATACTTGGAGTGAAACTTTAGAATTTATTAACTTGATAATAGCAGTCACTTGTCTTGCACTAATGTGCCATTAGCTGTACTTAGGGAAAAATGTATCACATGGATCATTACAGGTTACTAGCAAATTTAAGAAATAAAACATACAAATTAACTTTCAGTCATATCGCTACATTGCTATAGTAATCTCCTGTAGTAAATTCATTTTAAGAAGTATTCTTAATATTTGTATTTGTAGCATACTGACCATCTTCCCAGTTCTTTGAAAGATGTTTGGGAAAAGCTTCATTGAATGAGTATGTTAAAATATCCTCATTGACAATACGGACTTTTCCTGGAGCTGCTTCAGACAGCATCTGAGATTTTTGAAAAAAAATATATTAAAAAGAGATTTAATTACCTTTGAAAAACCTGCTAAAAATGATTTTTTTAGCATCTGTAAGGCAAGAACTTATACATTTGGGATTCCATTTAATTATCTTATCTATGCCAAACATCACCAAATGTGCCAAAAAGAAAGCTAAATAGATGCTAACCTGTACAAATATGAAGTATACAAAGGCAACAATATTAAAATTATTAATTTTAAGTTTAAAATTATTTGTTTCTTATAAAAACTGAAACAGAACTAATTTAGTGATTCTAAATTCAAACTTGTTTCTATCATTTTAAGCTTGTTTATTACTTTCTGGAAGTCAATTTTAAGTACGGTAGTTCCCCTCATTTGATAAACAGCTCCAAATATTTCCAGATTTCCAGAAGACCACAAAGGTCAGCTGAGACCAACCTCATTAGTATTTACTAGTATAACTAGTTATTAAAATATAATACAATTTAACCTGTAAAAGATAATTATCAATATTAGCATTTTGGACAATATTTGGGTACCTGGAGTCCTGGAATAAAACGAGAATCTTTTTCAATTAATAACAATTCTGCAACACCAGAATTTAAGATGGATCTACTGATTCCTCCTGGCCCAGGGCCTACTTCACACACGTATGCATCCTTCAGATTGCCAGCAGTCTTTACTATCTTATCTGCAAAAAAGAGCATACAGTACTTACAGTTTTGATTTCACAAGCATAGAACACTTAAACAATGCTATCACTTCAAAATAGTCATTCATCACTACATCATTAAATCAAGTAAACTGGACAAATTAATGTACAACATAGCTAGTGCAAACTATGATAATTTACATTTACTTAGTCTTCAGATTAAAAGTTACTATGATATTACAACAGTATATATGGCCTCTACATTCCAAAAGCTAGTTCATTCTTTTGAGTACAGAACTGATAAGTTAAAAGTTAAAAAGCGATAATGTCCTTCCATAGTTTGATTTTTTTTAAAATCATATTAACAATGTGCTTTATTTTGCTGATTATGTGAGACAATCAAATGGATTAATTCAGATAAACGACGTGGAATAACAAAATAAAGCACAGATACATATGGGCACTCTACGTATTCATATTCAGAAAGGAAAAAAAGTTAAGGTTAAGAAAAAAGACATAGAAAAAGGCCAAACTTTATTTCATATCCAAAATCTGGATGGAAAGTCAATTCTAGAAAATGGATTGGAAAGATGAACAAATATAAAAGAGCATCATTTTGCATGTACAAATCATGTGACGGTCGTACTTTCACTTTTGCAGTCAATAAAATGTAAGCCAAAAAAAAGGGGGGGGGAATCCAAAGGAGGGAAAGTAGATAAGCCCATATTCTGTAGTGAGCTGTGTGGTTTAATGCGCATTTTCTACACCGTCTAATTCTCTATTTCCACTTTTACTAGTACAGCCACTTTGCCAACTGGAAAACCACCAATCGACTGAGATAAAGAACAGGTACGTAGCTTGTCAAATGGCAGGACTACAACTCCCATCGTCCCCGTCCAGTACAGGGATGATGGAAATGGTATTCCAGCGTATCCAGAGAGCCCCAAGTTGGAGGGGAAAAAATGTTGGGGGGGGGGGAAACGTCCTTTCGCAGGTCAGCGAGTCAGCCAATCGCCCCTCCGAAGATGAACCCCGTTTAAACACCCAAGAAGCGCCGCGGACGGCCAACCTGTGAGGCGCAGATCCAACAGAAAGTTCTGAGACAGTTGCTTCGTAGCCTTCAGTTTAAACAGCTTAATTATCTCTCTAATGGTAGGAAGGACCGGCAGGCGGAAAATAGCCACCTTCCCCGAGCCCGCCATTGCCGAGCGCGGCGCTCGCTTTACCCTCGCCACAGAGACGCTAGCTAGACCCAGAACGCCCTTGCGCAGGCGGCGAAGGATTGTGGGCCAGCTGACTACAAAGAGCGCCTGCTCAACCGACGGCGCAGGCGCACTTCGTAGCCACCAAGCTTCCCTCTGAGGACCCCGGAGAGTCAGGCAGAGCTCCTCCCCCTTTTCTTACGCACGCTTACAATTAGGAGGGAAAAAAACCGTAAATAAAGGAGAGATGAGAAGTTAGCGCAGGGGTAGGCAACCTCGGCTCTTTTATGACTCGTGGACTTCAACTCCCAGAATTCCTGCTGGCTCAGGAATTCTGGGAGTTGAAGTCCACGAGTCATAAAAGAGCCAAGGTTGACTACCCCGGAGTTAGCGCTTAAAGTCCCACTTCGTGGCGCGTGACTTCCCAGCCTCTGGGAAAGCAACGAGAGCGTGCAGTGGGTGCTTTAACTCTGAAGTGTGTGTGTGTGTGTGTGTAAGGGGGGAGAGGTTGCAGTGGCCATCAAACGAAATGAATGCAACCTTAGGATACCAGAAATTAAAACAGGAGAAAGAACGAGGCAGGTGACTTTGAGGTTAGCGGGAGATGAGTAACAGTTGGAGAAGATACCTGTATTCACCCGAGACGCTGCAATTAAAAGCATTTTTTTAAAAGTTGCTTGTTTCCAGTCCCATAAACGCTTCCCCAGATTCAGAGAATAGATTTAAAGCAATGGAAGGGAGTATAATGCTTTTTTTTTTCCCATTTCGGCAGGAAGCATTAGATGCGAATTCCTACATTTAATTTCAGTGAGAAAGAAGCAAGGGCTCATTGTCCAGCAAAGGTTCTGCTCCTTTGTTGTTATTATAAAAGAACAGTAGAGTAACCTTTGCCATTCTGGAGGATTTGTTCTCAAAAATATTCAAAACTTGGTGAATTAGAGAGCTGGTTTGCTGTAGTGGATAAAGTGCTGGACTAGAAACTGGAAAACCGTGAATCCTGGTCCTCCCTTAGATATGAAAGCTGGCTGGATGCTCTTATTCAGTGCCACCCAGCTCACCGGATGCTTGTGGGGTAATAGGCAGAAGCGTTATGTACACCACCTTGAGCTGTTTAAATAAAGGTGGGATATAAATCTAATAATTGCTAACCTTTATTTTTATTTATTTACTAGCTGTACCCGGCCACGCGTTGCTGTGGCTCAGTCTGGTTAAATGGAAAAGAAAGAAAAGAGAAAGTGCACGTTTGTAATATGTTTAATTTCACAATGCTTGTGGGTATGCTTTTACGTCCAACAGATGGCGCTGTTTTTCAAAAAAAGCATGTTTTTACCTGTCACAGGTGTGACATCTATATAATAGTAGGTATATAAAAACACGCGCGTATTCGAATGCAACGTTGTGTCAAACTTTCAAAGCAATCGGTGAAGAACTTTCGGAGATTTAAGATTTTGAACAAACGAACATTTACATTTTTATTTATATAGATTGGCAAACTAAGCTATGAGGATTAAACCACAGTTTTCAGTTGCTAAATTTAATATATTTGGGATGGAAAGTAATGAAATGTATGAAACATATCAAAGAATAAAATATACACTGTAATTTGGAGAATTACATGCAATGTTATGTTTTGAGGCCTGGAGCACTTAGCAATACAGACCTCTTCAACCTGATAACCTGCTCATGGGCCATCTTTACTTCNTTATGACTCGTGGACTTCAACTCCCAGAATTCTGGGAGTTGAAGTCCACGAGTCATAAAAGAGCCAAGGTTGACTACCCCTGAGTTAGCGCTTAAAGTCCCACTTCGTGGCGCGTGACTTCCCAGCCTCTGGGAAAGCAACGAGAGCGTGCAGTGGGTGCTTTAACTCTGAAGTGTGTGTGTGTGTGTGTGTGTGTGTGTGTGTGTGTGTGTGTGTGTGTGTGTGTGTGTGTGTGTAAGGGGGGAGAGGTTGCAGTGGCCATCAAACGAAATGAATGCAACCTTAGGATACCAGAAATTAAAACAGGAGAAAGAACGAGGCAGGTGACTTTGAGGTTAGCGGGAGATGAGTAACAGTTGGAGAAGATACCTGTATTCACCCGAGACGCTGCAGTTAAAAGCATTTTTTTAAAAGTTGCTTGTTTCCCGCCCCATAAACTCTTCCCCAGATTCAGAGAATAGATTTAAAGCAATGGAAGGGAGTATAATGCTTCCCCCCCCCCCCCATTTCGGCAGGAAGCATTAGATGCGAATTCCTACATTTAATTTCAGTGAGAAAGAAGCAAGGGCTCATTGTCCAAGCAAAGGTTCTGCTCCTTTGTTGTTGTTATTATTAAAAGAACAGTAGAGTAACCTTTTGCCATTCTGGAGGATTTGTTCTCAAAAATATTCAAAACTTGGTGAATTAGAGAGCTGGTTTGCTGTCGTGGATAAAGTGCTGGACTAGAAACTGGAAAACTGTAAATCCTGGTCCTCCCTTAGATATGAAAGCTGTCTGGATGCTCTTATTCAGTGCCACCCAGCTCACCGGATGCTTGTGGGGTAATAGGCAGAAGCATTATGTACACCACCTTGAGCTGTATAAATAAAGGTGGAATATAAATCTAATAATTGCTAACCTTTATTTTTATTTATTTACTAGCTGTACCCGGCCACGCGTTGCTGTGGCTCAGTCTGGTTAAATGGAAAAGAAAGAAAAGAGAAAGTGCACGTTTGTAATATGTTTAATTTCACAATGCTTGTGGGTATGCTTTTACGTCCAACAGATGGCGCTGTTTTTCAAAAAAAGCATGTTTTTACCTGTCACAGGTGTGACATCTATATAATAGTAGGTATATAAAAACACGCGCGTATTCGAATGCAACGTTGTGTCAAAATTTCAAAGCAATCGATGAAGAACTTTCGGAGATTTAAGATTTTGAACAAACGAACATTTACATTTTTATTTATATAGATTGGCAAACTAAGCTAGGAGGATTAAACCACAGTTTTCAGTTGCTAAATTTAATATATTTGGGATGGAAAGTAATGAAATGTATGAAACATATCAAAGAATAAAATATACACTGTAATTTGGAGAATTACATGCAATGTTATGTTTTGAGGCCTGGAGCACTTAGCAATACAGACCTCTTCAACCTGATAACCTGCTCATGGGCCATCTTTACTTCAATAATACCAGGTGATTCTCCATCTTTCATGAAAATCATGCCATTGTATGACCTTTCAGATACTTGGAACTGGGGACTACACAACATAAATTGATCCACAGGATACTCATTTTCTCCTATAATTAACTTGTATGTGATAAGATTACTTTGTACAGTACATATATATTTACGGGTTGGCCATGCAGGAGTTAAAATATGCATTTCCTAAGGACTGGTATTCAGTTTATTCTCTCATTCATAATAACTGCTTTTGGTATACTTACATTATAGAGAGTAAACTGGATAGTTCGTGAAGACATGGCGTGCAATCCATCTATAATTAATCTAAATATTTATTTTAAACAGCATAAAATAAGGACAAAAATTAGTCACAAATGAGAGATAGGTGGATATATAAATTTACCAAATATATATTTTAAGGAGCAGATAGCAATTGTTCCTAGGAGGGCCTTTGCTCAACTTCATGTTCTGTATTAGTTGCATCCCTTCCTGCATTGAGAAGCCCTTTTCTCAGTCCCTGATAATTTGCTCATCGATCATATGGACTATTACAATGTGCTGTACATGGGATTACTCTTAAAGAGTATCCAGAAGCTGCAGCTGGTGCAGAATGAGGCTGTGCAACCCGACTCTGAAGACGGTATATGTAACACCTCTGCTACATGAGCTGCATTGGGTGCTGGTTTGCTTTCAGGTCTAATTCAAGGTGTTGGTTATTACATTCAAAACCCTTCATGGCATGAAACAAGGTTACCTGAGCAATTGTCCCAATTATATCCATCCATCCAACTCAGGCAGGGAGGCAAGGAGGATATGTTATGGATCCTAATAGGGTCTAAGAAAAGAGCCTCCTCTCTAATTGCCCCCTGCCCTATGGAAAATTTTGGCCTCAGAATTGAGGTTGCCCCCATTTTTCTGACCTTTTGGAAAAGCATGAAGATCTGGCTTTGTCAGGGCCTGAGGATGGAAGACTGACACGCAGACTGACAGGGATGGTTGGTGTCTTGAGCGTGCTGCCTTTTTAACTTATCTTTTAACTTTGTCCTTATTTTATTCTTAGTTCTCTTTATAATTCTGTTTTTAATTATGTCGTTTATATGGTTTCATCATTTATATCTGTAAACTGCCCAGAATCACTTGGATAGTGAAATGGGCAGTGTCTAAATTTGATAAATAAAAAATAAATATTTGATAAATAAATAAACCAGATCTTTAATTTCCTAGTATTTAAATCAATGAAGTACAAATGAACTGTTAATCTTAGCCAAATCACAGCTTGCAATTTGAATGGCCCTTCTGTGAAACTTCTGGATTCAGTAAAATTCCTCATCACTCTTTATTGAAATTATGATAGATAAAATACCTAACATTTTGGATTTAGAAACATAGCTATGAGAATGACAAGTTAATGATATTTTTTATTTTGGTTCAGACAAGTTTTATCAATTGAGGGGTAGAATTTTTCATACTGTACGTAAATCCATCTAATTAATTTGAATGTTACCCAGGTCAGAAGGCTGCAGTTACATCCTAGCTTTCTTGATTTTGTGACTTGCCAAATATTTATTTTATAGGTTTATATCATATCCTATCAGTTTTACCTAAGAACAGCCGAGTGAGGTAGATTAAACTCATTCAGGCTACCCCACTGGGGGGAGGGGGGGCAGGGGTAAGGCAAGGGAAAATCTTATAATCTTTTATCCTTGCACATCTTGGATCACATTTTTGTTATGTGCTCCTGGCTACTTTCCTTCATGACCAGAGGCAAGCTCACCTGACCAATAACCAGCCAAGACACAGTGAGGGCCATTTGTTTCGTTTATTGCAATAAGCGGGGAGAGAAGCTAT